TATATATATATATATATATATATATTGTTTTTTCATATTAAATATTATCATTTAATTGGATAGATAGAAAATTTATGAACAATAAATTCATTAAAATATCTATTGATTCATTGCAAATTTCAAATTTTTATTTATATTCTTATGAAAATTTAGATTTTTATAAATATTTTTACTTTAATTTTTTTAATTTAAAATGTTATTACATGTGAATTTTTTGACATTATTGATATGACAAAAATATCATCCCAACTAAATTATTATACTAACAAATAAAATTTAATAAAAAGTAGCTTTATTTGAAAATTAAATTAACTATATTTTATATCAAATGATCTAATGCACTTACTCCAATTTACATTTCATTTGGGATAATTTTCTTACTAATTTTTTAAATTATTTTCAAATTATTATACTAACAAATAAAATTTAATAAAAAGTAGCTATATTTGAAAATTAAATTAACTATATTTTATATCAAATGATCTAATGCACTTACTCCAATTTACATTTCATTTGGGATAATTTTCTTACTAATTTTTTAAATTATTTTCTAGCCAAAATAAAAATTTAAATTAAGAATTTTTATACTATAAAGCTTATTTAAAAAACAATAATAAAATTATTCCAAACAAAATCTTACAAATGACAAAGAAGTCATTTGGGATATTTTACTGGTTTCAAAAAAAAAAAAAAAATTATACAAATTTCTTATAAGCAAAAAAATAAAATAAAATAAAATAAAGAATGGCTTTGCAAAATATTTTATATAATGACCAAAAGAAACCCCTAAAATTAGATTATATCTTAAGCTCATCTCCAATAAACTAGTGTTAATTCTAGCATCCAAGATATAGCTACATCATTACCCTTAGATTATTATTTAGAGCATCATCAAAAGAGAATGATTCAATGATTAAATTCAATTACTGTGGGGTTTCTCAATATCTAGAAATCATTACCTAGAGTAGGGGTGCAATCGAGTTGAATTAAGTCGAGCTTAAGTCACGTCTAACTCGAGGTCGACTCGCAAGCCAAATTCCGAGCTTGAACTCAAGTCCAGCTCAAAAGATGAGCTCGAACTCAACTCGTGACACTAAAAATGAGCTCGTCGAGAGGCTCAATTCCGTGTCCAAGCCCGCTCGTTCCGCGTCCGTGCCTGCTTCTTTGTGTCGGCTCTAGATTTCGCATTCGAGCACACATTCCGTGTCAAAGTTCGCCTCCGCCCTGCGATCCCACATCTCCAAGTCCGAGCCTGCCCGCATCTACGTCCAAGTTCGAGTCCGCACTTCGAGTCGCTTGTCGAGTAATTGAATCGAGCTTCCATAGGATCAAAAAATTTGGAGGGAGCTGAATAATTATTTTATCAAAATCATAAGACATAAATATTAAAATTAGAAGATAAATATTTTGTAAATAAAATAACATTCAAAACTCATACAAAAAAAAAATGGATTTTTTTAACTAATAAAAACCATAAACTTTTGTTTAAGCTGATGGAAGAATCTCAAGAGCAACTTCCTTCAGGGAAGGCATTTCTTCCTGCTGATGCAAGCATATAAATGTGTCGCCCAGTTTTCTCAGTACCTGCCATGCACCCGGATAAGACCTGAAAATGATATAGTTCAAAATAGTTTAATGCTACTGCATACTTATTTCATCCAAATTTGGGTAATCAAAGGCTTCGTTTGGGAAAGCTTCATAAAGCAGCTTTCTAAAAAACTGTTTTAAGAAGCAATAACAAAGCCGTCTTAAATGAAACCTAAGGCTTCGTTTGGGATGGCTTTCTTTCTGCTTCTTAAAACAGCTTTCTAGTTGAAAAATTTTTCCAAACGAAACCTAAGTCTTTGTTTGGGACAGCTTTCTTATGCTTCTTAAAGCAGTTTTTTAGTAAAAAATTAGTTAAAAAAAAAAACTTTAAGCAGCAGTAAGAAAGCCATCCCAAACAAGCCTTAAATCGCAAGTTGGCAACAGCAAACATATTCAAATACTTGTAACGACAATCATTACTAAAGAACCAAGATTTTTTTTTTTTGTAAAATTAGAAGTAGAGTGAAGTGACTAAAGATCTATAATTTAGCTCTTTTTGTTTGTTTGTAACAAGAAAAAATGAGAGAGAATTGCAGAACCTGAACAGAGTTCCTCCATTCCGCCCTTTGAAATTGTGGATGTAATAAACTGTCTCTAGCTTGGGAAGGAAGGTCTTGGTGAGTGAAGCCAGTTTGGGATAGAAGAATGAAGGATAATCTTAGCAAATCAAGGAAGAATCTGGAACAAAATTATGGAAAAAAAAACAGGTAACAAATATCAAAAGCTCTTTGGCAGTGCCAAAACAACTCTCTGTAAAACAGTTCTGAATAATAGAAAATGTATTACTTCCATCAATACTTTCATAAACAAGAAATACAAAGCAAAATATGGCCAATAGCAATTTTCTTTAGAACCAAGGGTACTTTTAGAGGATTACTCTTGCTTGGGTCTTTCAAGGGTTCCATAATTCAGATTTAGACTTCATTTGGGACGGCTTTTTTATAGCTTCTTAAAGTGATTTTTCAGTACAAAAATTTTAATTTTTGTATTAAAAAGTTGTTTTAAGAAACAGTGCGAAAGCCGTCCCAAACGAAGCCTTAGAAGCTTTGAAAAAACCTATAGTACTTATTGAGAGTAGGTTTATCTCACACACAAGCTACACAAGCTACAAGTGACATCATGATGGGAAACACTTGAAGATCTCAAGTGAAACCTGACGATCTTGACAAAACCAGCGAGGATACTCAACAAGTAGAGAAAAAATCAGAGAAAAACAACCCACTTTATTGAGAAAAATCAACTAACGGAAGAAAAAAAACAATATACAAGTGATCCTCAATTCGATTGGAGGATCGATCTCTCCCGATTCTCTAGACGCCGCTAGAGCCCAAAGGAAACTTAAACCTAAGAGATATCCTATGACCTCCAATCTACATGCCATTCGAAAAAATCTTGCTTTCTTCAATCTCAAGAGGCACTATTCCCTTACGACTTATTGATGACCGCTTACAATGCATAAATCTCAAGAGATATTGTTAATACATGGCCACCAAATGAAGATTTTCAAATGGATGATTATTTCAGAAAAGACGTTGAAAGTTCCTTTTTCCTGGTTCGCTCTCTTTACCCTATCTTCCCATTCATTCCTTCAACAAATCTAGCATCTTCAGCATCACCACTATTATTGGCACACCATGCAAGCTTAATAAGGCCACTAACCAATCTTTGATCCCTAATGAAGCCTGACTCTACATTGAAATAGACCTCCTTAGTTCCATATCACACTGAGTATGGACTAGATGCATAAAACGACTAACATAAGGTTTTTGACAGTAGAGAGCCTTACAATGATCTTTCCAATCCAAGGTTACAAGAAAACTCAATGTTCATTAATCAAAAATGAATAAGTAAATTTCTAAGATACGGTTTCGCTAAATGCCAATGTGAATGCATCTAAGAAAAAAGGTGGAAAGAGTACAGAATGGGGGAGGATACATCCACTTCTTATTCTGTCAAGCTCGCCATTAAAAATTATTAGCTTTCTTGTGGTGTTCATGACTGCTTCTTCATATAGCTCTTCAACGACAAGCATTTCTGCAAGGGATATGAAGTTCAATTCAGGTAAATGCGAAGAGGTAAGCATGTACGTGGAGCAAGTTTAAGAAGGTACCATTAACGTTGAAGTATGGGTAAGCAACCAAGAACAATTCATCCTCTGGCTTGACACGATCAGACATTTTAACTCTTGACACAAAACCAAAATCTTGAAATAATGATGGTTTGGTCAAGTAGTCCAGCTTAAATGAAGTTGCTTCAAAGAATGTTCTTCTTGCAAAATCTACTTCATTTGCCTCTGGGAAAAACTGTATATTTCCAAATAATAGCATCAAAAATTGATCCAAGGCACCTGACCACTACTACAACAACATCAAGCCTTTGTCCCACTACTAGGGGTCGGCTACATGAATCCTTTTTCGCCATTGTGTCCTGTTAGAAGTCAAATTTTCATTTAAATCTAATAAAGAAAGATCATTTCTAATATTTTCTAACCAAATCTTTTTAGGTCTACATCTATCTTTCGTAACATAAGTCAAATCTAATATCTCAACTTTTCTAACCGGGTCATCGGAAGGCCTTCGTTTAATGTGACCAAATCATCTAAGGCGACTCTCTCTAATTTTATGTTTCACTGGAGCTACTCCAACCTTTTCACGTATATGCTCATTTCATATCCTATCTCTAAAGGTAAAGCCACTCATCCACCTAAACATCCTCATCTCTGCAACACTTAACTAAGGCATCTTACCACTGCAACTATAAATTAAATCAGAAAAATTAAAGATGCCTTTCTTGATGTCATAAGGCATTGCTTTAAATGCCATTTTCCATGAACACAGCCTAGAAATTTTCATTACAAACGTAGCAGAGAATATGCTTGCAAAAGAAAATAACAGAAAAGCTTTGGTTTCTCAATGTCCCTAAAACAAATTTTACTTAAATACACATCGCCAAAATTATAAATAGCATTACTAGCATACTTTGAAGTCAATATTAAATGTAGAACCATTTCTTGATAAATATTCTGATTTAATGTTGAATCTATTTATAATCCAATATTAAGATTGAACATTTTACTTTTCTATGTATATGTTACACTCATATGAAGGTGAGGAGCTAAAAATTTATGGCCATCCAGTACTATATCAATTGTGGTTGACTAATTCAAGGCGTATAGGAAAATGCAAGCATGCTAGAGAATTTTGTTGGAACCAAATCTGGTTCCTCGTTAACAGCCTCATAATAACTCAAGATTCTGCCATGCTTGCAATGGGATCAAGACAGAAGTGGCCAAACAAGAGAAATAATCTGGGAATAACTTTCTATAGTGGAGAAACATTATAGAGAGGAAAAAAGGAGAGGAAGCAGAACTGGAGAGAGAGAGAGAGAGAACTGGAGAGAGAGAGAGAGAGAGAGAGAGAGAACTGGAGAGAGAGAGAGAGATTAGCTCTGACAGTATATTATAGTAGTAGTTGGAGCAGTATCTATTGAAAATAAAGTAATTTAAAATAAACTTAAATGATTTAGACATGCACATCAAAAGATAAAAAATGCCATATTAGACAAAATAGATAAAATCAATATCTTAAGATTAGGAAGGAGAAGGGGGAGACCTAAGGTTACATGAAGAGAAATTGTTCAAAATGATTTATAAAAGATAAATTTTACCACCACATAAAACACTCAGCCGGAATGAATAAAAAATGAGGATTCATAATACTGACATCAAATAGCTGGAATAATAATAATGATGATGATGAGGTACTGTTCATAATTTTGAATCAAAGGAGGAGCATGGATTGCAGAATAATTGGTGTAAGAAAAACTTAAACAATTCTAGTTCGTGTAGATTTTTCTGGAGCTACAAAGCGGTCAACAAATTCCCGAATCAGTTGCATACTCTCTGTCATTTCTATTCCTCCCTCTCCATCACCTGCATGCAGAATATAATTTAGCTAACATTTGGTATTTTGTTTCACATAATGAAGCATATAAAATCACTAATCACCTGGTACTGATCCAAGACCAGAAGTGGGAAACTCAATTTCCTGCAAAAGGCTATTATAGCATTAGCACTTGATATTAAAAATAATTATAAGTTGCAAAATGTTGACTTGCTAGCTTTACTGAATCTAACTCACCAGCAACTGCTTGTTGTCTTTCAAAGCAAACTCAGTTGCAACCTTTGCCTGTAATCAATAAAACCATACAAAATCAGCTAACCAGCTACCTGATATAAGTCTTGTTGCGGGCTACAGTATTCGCAGCTGTCAAGTACAAAAAACTTCACGTCTTAGCATTGTACGAGTATTCAGCACACAAACAGAGAAAAAATAAACACCAGAATTTTTACGTGGAAAATCCTGAAGGGAAAAACCACAAGGCACACTCAATTGAAATGATTCTAGTAGTGTCTAAATAGATTAAAAGTGACTAGTTCGTCCTTGAAATTGAGGACAATCGGATTATACAAGTCAACCGTCGGGTGGTAAAACTAGTGACAAATGGAAATCCAGTGATCTTTGATGGTCAGGCAAAAATCCTACATCAATTGGCGGCCAGGCGAAAGTCTGGCATCAATCCAACGACAGATAGAACTCTGACAATAGGAGGAAGAATGACGATGGATGGAAGTCCGACGAAAGTCTGGTGACGGGCGGAAGTCCGACGAAAGACAGAAGTCCAACGGAAGTCTGCCAATGGGCGGTGGTCCGGAGGAAGTCCGACAACGGGCAGAAATCTGACAATGGGTAAAAGTTCGACGTCAGGCAAAAGTTCAACGGGAATTCCGACGACAGGCGGTGGTCCGGCTGAAGTCTGAAGACGAACATAAATCCGACAATGGGAGGAAGTCCATCGATGGACGGAAGTCTAGCGACAGATGTTGGTCCGGCGGAAGTCCGACTGGTGAGCGAAATTTTAGCATCAGGCAAAAGTTCGACGAAAGTCCGGCGACGGGCGGTGGTCCGATGGAAGTCTAAATATGGGACGAAATCCAACTATGGGCGGACGTCCGACGATAGATGGAAGTCCGGCGACGGGCAATGGTTTGGCGGCGGCCGGTGGTCTAATTTTAGCAAGTTGGAAACTTCCAAAATTTAATCTGAGACCATCCAAATTCTGATTTCAACAAACTAATAGTCAAACTGAACATTTCGAAAAGACGAACCCAACAACACCAAATTCGACTCAATCCCAGCCCAAATGAGTGCAAATCGAAGACTTGAAACACATTTGAAAATTTTAAACTATAAATTAGACCTGTCAATATTTGACCCGACCCGAAAACCCGATCCGAACCCGACCAGAAATTTTCGGGTTTGGGTTGACCCGAACCCGAAGCGGGTCGGGTTCGGGTCCGGGAAACCGATAAAACCACACAAAATCAGCTAACCAGCTTCCTGATATAAGTCTTGTTGCGGGCTAGAGTATTCACATCAGTCAAGTACAAATAACTTCACGTCTTAGCGTTGTACGAGTATTCAGCACACAAACATAGAAAAAAATAAACACCAGAATTTTTACGTGGAAAATCCTGAAGGGAAAAACCACAGGGCCACACTTGGTTGAAATGATTCCAGTAGTGTTTGAATAGATTACAAGTGACTAGTTCGTCCTTGAAATTGAGGACAATCGGATTATACAAGTCAACTGTCGGGTGGTAAAACTAGTGACAAACGGAAATCCAGTGATCTTTGATGGTCGGGCAGAAATCCTACGTCAATTGGCGGCTAGGCGAAAGTCTGGCATCAATCCAACGACAGATAGAACTCCGACGACAGGAGGAAGTATGACGATGGGCGGAAGTCCGACGAAAGTCAGGTGACGGGCGTAAGTCCGACATCAGGCAGAAGTCCAACGGTACTGCCGATGGGCGGTTGTCCGGAGGAAGTCCGATGACGGGCAGAAATCTAACGATGGGTAAAAGTCCGACGTCAGGCAAAAGTTCAAAGGGAATTCCGACGACAGGCGGTGGTCCGGCTAAAGTCTGACGACGGACATAAATCAGATGATGGGAGGAAGTCCATCGATGGACGGAAGTCTAGCGACGGATGTTGGTCCGGCGGAAGTCCGACTGGTGAGCGAAAGTTTAGTGTCAGGCAAAAGTTCGACGGAAGTCCGGCGACGGGCGGAGGTCCGATGGAAGTCTGAAGACGAGCACAAATCCAACGATGGGCGGACGTCCAACGATAGATGGAAGTCCGGCGACGGGCGGTGGTTTGGCGGCGGCCGGTGGTCTAATTTTAGCAAGTTGGAAACTTCCAAAATTAAATCTGAGACCATCCAAATTCTGATTTCAGCAAACTTATAGTCAAACTGAACATTTCAAAAAGACGAACCCAACAACACCAAATTCGACTCAATCCCAACCCAAATGAATGCAAATCAAAGACTTGAAATACATTTGAAAAGTTCAAACTATAAATTGGATGACCAAATGGTTTCCTAACGTGACATGCATATAGTCAAATCGAGCGGCTCAACGAGATGAATCCAACGAGCCCAAGATCATTGAATTCTAACATCATTAAGACACTCACATCCTTAATAAATAGTTCATGATCAAGGGAATTAATATCAGTCATTCACCCGAAACACTCTCAACATACCCTTGATCTTCTCATTATTTACTAATCATGACACTCCTCGAAAACTATAAATAGAACCCCCATTCTTCACAAATGAGGAAGGAAAAAAAGAAGGGAGAATGAGATTAAGAAGGAAGAGAAATCTAAGATCTCTCTCGCCACCAAGCTCCTCCTCGACCACTGCCGGAACTTCCGCCGGATAACCGACCGCCGCTGGACCATCGCCCATCGCCGAAGTTCAGCCCATCGTTGGATTTCTGCCCATCACCTGACTTCCACCCACCAGTCGAACCAACACTCGTCGCCGGACTTCCATCCCTCGCTGGACTTTCGTCCATTGCCGGCTTTCTGTTCATCATCGGGCTTTTGCTAGTCGCCAGACTTCCGTCAGACTTCTGCCCGATGCCGGACTTCCATCCATCGTCATATTTTTGCCCGCCGTCGGACTTCCTCCAGACCACCGCTCATCGTCAGACTTATGCCTGTCACCATACTTCCTGCCATCGTCGGACTTCTGTCCGTTGTCATACTGATACCAGACTTTCGCCCGGCCGCCAATTGACTTAGGATTTCCGCCCAACCATGGAACATCACCGGATTTTTGTTTGTCACTATTTTTCAACCCGACGATTGACTTGTATAATCTGATTGTCTTCAATTTTAAGGATGAATCAGTCACTTGTAATCTATTCAGACACTAGTTGAATCATTTCAATTGAACGTAGCCCCGTAGTTTTTTCCTTCAAGTTTTTCCACATAAAAAATCTGTTGTTTATTTTTTCTCTATTTGTGTGCTAGATACTCATGCAATGCTAAGGCATGAAGTTTGTAATATTTTACCACCACCGCAACAAATCTAATGAAAACCACGCGCAGGGGACGGGATTCTAGGGAGAAAGATTAGGGTTTCATATTTAATAGTATATATTAATTAAAATAATAATAAATTAGAATAATTAAATGTAAATTAATCTTAATAATTAATGGGAATAAACTAAAATCACATTAATTTGATTAAAATAGTATTATTTGTGATTTAATTTGATTGAATATAAATTATTATATTAAATTATTTTTATAAATTATTAATTAATCATAAATAAGGATATTAATCTCAGCTAATTATAATTTAATTAACAAAAGTATAATTGATAAAACAGTATATTAATTGAAATTATAAATTACCAATCAAATTCTTATAAAATTATACATTAGTAGTGTTCCACGAATGCAAGGGCCATCGCGTCTGGATTCATCGCCGCCGGCGATTATCAAGGAGCACAACTGAAACCCTAGATCATCTTATTCTTTCTGCCTTCCTAACTTCTATCTCTAACCACCTCAGGCCTTGTTTGGTTTGTCGATGTTCTTGAAAAAGTTTGTTTTAAAGTGGTTGTGGAGAAAATTGAGTTTCGGAAATAACGTTCTATATAATGGAGTTATTACAAAATATTGTTTGTTTAAATAACTTTTTATGTACTTATTCAAACTTTAAAATAAATAATTAGTGTTTGATACAATTAACAATTTTAATTTTTTCATCATAAATGATGAAATTATCCATATATTAAACTCAAATTTACTTAATATTTTTTACAAGTATAATATGGCTCACCTACTCATTTTTAAATATTCATATCTTTGTAGCCTAGTAATGAATAAATAAAACTGCATTACTTGCATCACATTTGCTGAATTAATGTTCTGGTGGACTAGTACTGTCCTGGAAATAATGTCCCACTTGTTCATCATTCTCACTGCTGGGAAACTTCAGGGAAAGATTCTGAAATATTTTTTTTAATATAAGTTCAATAATGATAAACCATAAGACCAGCGACGGCCTTGATGGTTCATCTCCGTCCGATTTTCTTTCGTTCTTAACCGCTGCTCCTCCAGCTCCATTCCCTATGCCGCCTCTCCTTCCTCTCCTCGTATGCAACCAGCGCCCAAGCGAGCTCTGCCGGGCCACGCACCACGGCCGACCCCAAATCCCGCCTTTGCTTCGCTGCCTAAGGCGGGCGACGGGCTACCTTTCGATTTTTCCATATATAGTTAAATTTTATTGTATAAATAATAATAAAATGTGCCTATACTAAAATGGAAAAGCAAGATCGGTGCTTGTGGAGTGAGGTAAGGTTGTATTTGCTGTAACATAAGAGGGTGTACCTATGGATGACAAATGTTACCGTAAACGGATGAATGCGAATGGGATTGGAGTTGTATTTGCAGGACAAATCGGGTAAAAAAAAACCATAATTTAGCAAAGCAGAAAGGAGGAGGCGCTGTAGAGGAATCTCCAACAAATTTCTGAGGTGATTTTTGACCACTTGAACGGGATTCGATTCCTTGTTGAAGCCTTGTTGCGGTGAATGGGATGCTCGAAGAAGAGGATATGTGAGTTCGTCTATGTCGTGGGAGGGTAAAATAGCGAAAATGAGGGTAGTTTGCGGAATGTCTCTGAAAATGACGCTCACTTTTCTCTTTCACGTTTTTAGGCAAAACACCGATATTAAGAACGTAATAAGAAAAAACGGTTTTATCATGCCTCGTTTGTTTGCCCGTTTTTTGTGCTTATTCCTTCTGTCAACGTCAAAGCAGAAATTTTATTTTTATTTGATAAAACCGCTTTTTCTTATTACGTTCATAATATTGGTGTTTTGCCTAAAAACGTGAAAGCGAAAAGTGAGCGCCATTTTCAGAGACGTTCCACGAACAGCCCTCGTTTTCGCTATTTACCCTCCCACGACACATACGAACTCATGTATCCTGTTCTTCGAGCATCCCATTCACCGCGATAAGGCTTCAACGAGGAATCGAATACCGTTCAAGTGGCCAAAAATCACCTCAGAAATTTGTTGGAGATTCCTCTACAACGCCTCCTTGCTTTGCTCGTTTCTGATTTTTTTTACCAAATTTGTCCTGCAAATACAACTCCAATCCCATTTGCATCCATCCGTTTACAGCAACATTCGTCATCCATAGGTACGCCCTCTCCTATTACAGCAAATACAACCTTACCTCACTCCACAAGCACCGATCTTGCTTTTGCATTTTTATATAGGCAGATTTTATTATTATTTATACAATAAACTTTAAATATATATGGAAAAACTCAAAAACCAAAAGGTAGCCTGCCGCCGCCTTAGGCAGGGAAGTAGAGGCGGGGTATGGGGTCGGCCGTGGTGCGTGGCGCAGCGAAGCTCGCTCGGGCGCTGGTTGCGTGGAAGGAGAGGAAGGAGAGGCGGCACAGGGAATAGAGCTGGAGGAGCAGCGACTGAGAACGGAAGAAAATCGGACGGAGATGAACCATCAAGGCCGTCGCTGGCCTTATGGTTTATCATTATTGAACATATATTAAAAAAATATTTCAGAATCTTTCCCTGAAGTTTCCTAGCAGTGAGAATGATGAACAAATGGTATATTATTTCTAGGACAATACTGGTCCTCCAAAACATGAATTTAACAAATATGATGCCAGTAATGCAATTTTATTTATTCATTACTAGACTGCAAAAGATATGAATATTTAAAAATGAGTAGGTGACCATATTATACTTGTAAAAAATATTAAGTAAATTTGAGTTTAATATATGGGTAGTTTCATCATTTATAATGAAAAAGCTAAAATTGTTAATTGTATCAAACACTAATTATCTATTTTAAAGTTTGAATAAACACATAAAAAGTTATTTAACCAAATAATATTTTTAATAACTTCATTATATAGAACGTTATTTCCGACAAAAATAAAATTTTTGCTTTGACGTTGGCAGACAGAATAAGCACAAAAAACGGGCAAACAAACGAGGCCTCAATCTCTCCCTCCCGCGTTCGCCTAATTCCCGGATTTAGTAAATGCGATATTTAAGGAAAACAAAGAGGAAACATGATTTAAGATTCTACAGGATTAAAAGTTGTCATTTTGGCTGTTTGCCATGCTTTAGGTTAAATCCTGCTCAAATCCTGTTACAAACAGCCCCTATAAGATATACTCTATTCAACCCCTGCAATGCACAGATTTTTCATGCCAATCTCCTAATTAGCTGCACTGTAACTTTTGCTTCAAGTTAGGCTTGAATGTACGAGGAAAACAAAAACTTTCATAATTCATAGTCCCCAACATTCGAAAGAGTAGACTTCAGTTATAAATGATTTAAGGAATAAGATATAACTGGGACAAAAAAGATAAAACTATCCGCACGCAACAAAAAATAAGCTTTGAGTCCTCCGCATCTAACAAATGGAAATTTCAAACTAATCGCATAAAAGTACTAGGATATGCATCTTTAACGGTCATTGAAGAACACCTGCTCGATAAGCTCGGAGTAGTCTCGGGGAAATCTCAGATCCATCTCTGGCAAATTCTTCCCATCTCTAGAGGCTAAACCAGCGAAGGACGGAGCGCTTCTTCCCCCATTTCTCATTGCAAACGCAGTGTGCGAGACCTTTCGATTTCTGACCTTTTTATACGAGGACAATTTGCGATATTTCAACTAGTATCAAAAGGTTCAAAGAACATCGGAAAAAGAACAAACCCTAATCTTACACCGCTGAGGAGAACTGAAGCAGAGGAGAGTGGGTGCCAAGAGAGAGAACTTGCGTCCGCCATTGCTATCGGCATTTTGTGAGGAACGAACAGTGGAGTGGAACAGATAACCCAACCAAAATCCTCGCCTATATTTAAAATAATATATATTTTTTCATGCAAGTATTTAAATGTAACTTTGATATTAAAATAATATATAAATTAATATAAAATTTTATATATTAGACATAAAAATATATAAAAAATTTAATAATATGTATATAAATATTTTTTTAATAAATGTGAGGCAAATTTAATTTTAATTAATAAAAATTAATAAATTAATGCATCCTAACTTTTACATAAAATCTGTAGAAAATAAAATTGAACTTACAAATAAAAGATATTTATTAAAAATATAAAGGATAAAATCTTATATTATTTGAGAAAAAATCTCATATTTCTATTATGTATTATTTTATTTAATATATCTTTCTTTTTTTGTTATTGTCATAGTGGATCAAGTAAGCCAATTATAATATAAAAATAACATAAATAGATTCTTATTTTTTATTTTGCAGACTTATAGTAAAAAATTAAAATGTGCTTAATTAATTAGTAAAATGTGAGATAATTTTCTAATGATTTATTAAAATATTATGGCTAAAATATTCATAATAATAAAAAGATTTATCATATTAATATTATATGAAGATATTATAAATAAATAAATTACTCATAAAACATGTACATAAGATATAAAATGTTTATGTAAAAATCTAACAAGGAGAAAAACTAGGAGGTCAGCCCCAATTGAAATGAGTCCATTAGGTTAAGTTTGGAATTACAAAGGTCTTACATTTCTTGTAATATGAAAATGTATAGCTATAATATGCAAGACTTTAATTCAATGAATATTTGTTGTGGTGATTGTAGGGGTATTTGAGATGGCTAAGGTGACAATAGGTGGCGGGCATCGCTTAATGGTGGGAATAGGGTGACAAGCATTAAAGAATATTGAAACATCAAGTAATGATGAGCAATGAGTGTAGGTCAATGATAGACACTAAATGATGAACAATAAAATTTTCAATACAAATATTCTCTTACTAGGAGAAGAGATTTCGTGGTCAAGGATGCGGAGAATAAGTGTGGATGAATAGACATATGTCAATAACAGGCATTGGATGATAGATGGTGAATGATGGTTGATAATTGAGAGTTGAGTGATGATAAACAAAGTGTTTCAATTATGCGAGACAATTAGATGATGAATTACGATGGTTGATAGAAGTTAGGTGATTGAAGGCATGCATTATATGTCATTTAATGATATACAATGATGGTAAATCGGTGACATGTGTTAAACAATGAGTGATGATATATGTCAAAAATCAGGAAACATAAGGCAGATGTCATAATTGTTCTTATTGAGATAGTATATTGGTGAACAAAGAGATGAATCATGAATCCTAGATGAACAAAAAAAGTAGAGACGGTTGGTGTTTGAAGCGATGGGCATTGCTCTAGAATGTTTTACAATTTGAGAATTTTCTTGATTAAAATGTATATAGAATGGATGTAAATATGACATTTATATATTCTAGGATGGGCATTTCAACCCCTTTTATCAAAATTTATCAAACAAATACTAAAATTATATGGTATGAATCTACTCTTTCCTCAATAGAGGAAGCAATTGAATGACCATGACCTTGTGTAGACCTAATGTGGGTATTTGAGCTGGGGAGGCTCACCTAGATCATGCAGATCTCCTTGACACTTGATTCAGCGACCATGATGGGGATTCGTGAGAAGCTAACCTAGATCATGCTAATCTCCTATCATATTCGGGTGGCTGATTTAGGAAATATTATATTATGGCAATTATAATAGACCATAATTTAACTCAGCCAAATATTTTTTTTTTCAAGAGTCAATATTAGTTTAAATCACAAACTATCATCATCATAACATATATATTGTAGTGATTTAATTACACTAATTTTTTTGACACTGGTGAAAATTCTTAAGAAATTGAGACATATCAATATGAGTGGGAATTTAGGACCATTAGATGTCCATTTTGCAAATTGATTTCACCAAAATATTCTAAATAAATTTTGTTAGACTTCCGAGCTCAAATGAGCCTAAATCAAAGACCCGAAGTGCATTTGGAAGATTCAATCCATAATTTGGATTGCTAAATAATTTCCAAACCTAACATGCTAGCGGCTCGACGAGATAAATCCAACGAGCCCAATATCGTCAAATTCTGATATCATTAGAGCCTTCAAATGTCTAATAAACTGTCCACAATCAAGAGATTCAACATCGACCATCCATTCAAACCACTCCCAATTCACCCCTGATCTTCCACCTATTTACTGGTAATGTCACTCTTAGAAAACTATAAATAGCCCATCATTTCTCTTAAGAGGGACCCTAAGCAAGAAGAGAAGAGAATGAAGAAGAGAATGAAAAAGCTCCTCCTCGACTACCACCAGACTTTCATCCGGGAGCTGACCGACGCCGGATTAAGCAATGAGATAATAAGGGAAAGAACAAAAGAAGCAAGGAAGAGAAGGAAGAGACTCCTCCTTGACCACTGTCAAACTTTGACCCGGCAGCCTACTGAAGCCGGAGTTTTGCCCGAGTGCCATCTAATGCCGGAGTTTTGCCTGGTCGTCGACTTACGCCTGACTTCTGCCCAACGCCAGACCTCCGCTCGTCATTGAATTTTTACCCGACGTCGGAGTTCTACCAAACGTCTGACTTCTACTTGTCGTCGAACTTTCGCCGGACTTCTACTCAACGCCAGATTTGCACCCATAGTCGGATAGCTATCCAACACCGAACTTCCTCCCGTCATCGTATTCCTACCTAATGCTGGACTCCCGCCTTTCACGTGGATTCCTACCGAACGTCAGACTTCTACCCGCCACTAAAATTCCATCGAATTTCTGCCCGTCGTCGGACATTCGACCCTGGACTTATGTCCATTGCTGGACTTCTACCTGACATCATTCTTCTGACCTTCGTCCTCAGACAACAGTCTTTATGACCCCCATCGCCCGCCGATTACGATCCTTTTGTCTTATATTGCCCACCAACTACAATTCTTCTAACCTCCGTTTCCATACAACAATCTTTATGACATCCGTCGCCCACCGATTATGGTCCTTCCGACTTACATCGTCCATCGATTATAGTTCTTTCAGTCTCCGTCGCACATGGACTATGGCCTTTCTGACCAAAGAAACACATCAACAATGATTCTTTGTATTTCTACCATGTAATGTACAATATAGGATGTACATCAAGTTAAAGTCTTCTCCCAAGGAAGGACCTCATTTGTAATCAACTTTAAATACTAGTGGATTCATTCAAACTGGGCTAGGCCCCGTGATTTTTCCTCTTTTTTAGAGTTTTTCACGTAAAAATCTTAATGTCTCTTGTGAATGACACACCCTCTCTCTTTATCTATGTGCGTGTTCAATTTTCATACAAAGCTAAAATGTTAAGCTTTATATTTCTCTACTGCTGCGAATACTCCAAGACGCAATAATTATATTATTATTTTATTAACAAATACATTAATGCATTACTTAACTTTATTAAATCATGTTTCCCTTTTCTTTATTTTGGCAAACAAAGCTTAGCCGAGGGAAATTTAGAGAGAAAGTGAGGAGAGAAAAAAATTATGGATTTGGAGGTTACAAAGCGATTTTCATCAGTCGAGCCTGATGAAAAATTTATCCGTCTCGTTGTAGGAAACCATTGTCATATTTTTTACTTCAATAATGTTGTGTTTTTTATATTTTTCTGATCACATTTGAGTTTTTTTTATCAAAAAATGAGAATAATTTTATATTAATAAACTTTTATCATATAACTTTATATATTATAGAACTTGATATTATAAACATTTTGAGTATTTATTTAATATTTTAAAAAATAATGATTTTTGACAACTTGTAAAATTATTTTGACACATAAAAATAGTGCTTTAATTCAATTAAAGCTTCAGAATATTATTTTATACAATATCTGATAATTTAATAAATTTCTAAAAAAAATATGAAATTTTGCTATATGTAATTTTTTCTCAATAGGGTTTTATGTTGCCTACTATTAGGTCATTTTGACACTTTCTAAATTAAGTTTAATTATGTTTTATTTAGTGTAATGCATTGAAAAGGAATGTAGATATATTGTTGAGAAATAGATGGTCACTATAATACTATTATAATATTATGATAATAATATGTGTGTGGGAAAAAATAAGTAAAGAATGGTTATTCACTGACGTTGGTTGGAGACTAATTTATCTTTATAGGATGGTAGCCAAACAGACTTTCCTTTAAATACTACGGTTGTGCGTTATCCTTTATTGATTCATGTGATACACTTATTGGAAGTTATAAGGGAATGACTACTGTGTTGACGGGCAAAGAGTGACGACTCTATTCACTGAGCCAATATGCTTAGGGCTGCAAATGAACCGAGCTGAGCCGAGTATGTAAGTGTTCATGTTTGAGTTCAGTTCATATTTGATTCGAGTTTTATTATTTGTGTTCATGTTTGATTCATTTAATTTATCGGTGTTCATGTTTGGATTATTTTCAATTCGTTTAGTGCTTATCGAGCTTTAAACAAACAAATATCAATGAGCTATGTTCGTGAACATATTTAGCGAACAATTTATTGAACAAATAAACCTTAAATTTTTTCATGAATATCTTAAACAAATAATCTAGAAAACATGGATAAATGTAAAATGTCTCTTGTTCGTAAACAAATTCATTATGTTATAATAAATTTAAAATAATTATATTATGTATATTTATCAATTTTACAATTAAATATTAATTGAATTTTTATCGAGTTTATTCACGAGCTCTAAATCGAACATGAATCGAGCTTTTATCGAGCTTAATGTCGAGCTTGTTCACGAGCTTCAAATGATGTTGTTCGTGAACATAAATGAACCGAACACATTAGTGTTCAAGCTTGTTTATTTAAGGATCGAGTATTTAAAATGTTGCTTAAGTTTGTTTGTTTAGTTAGTTAAACGATCACAAATGAGCTTTAATTGAACCGAGCAACGAGTAGCTCGTCAAATGTTTGGTTCGCTTGCAGCACATGCAGCCCTAAATGTGCTACTGATACTAACACTAATACTGGAAAAACATCGATGTAACCAGGATATTTACTTGTTTAATATGATTATTAGAATGCATGCTACTGAATCACTGCCATTATATGAATTTATTATTACTGCCACCCATGATGTTGATGTTACTATTGTTCTGCTGTTTACAATTATTTTTATATGATTTAACATCATTAACATGATTTGGATAGACATTACCAATATTTTGATTTGATGATTTATACAATTTTTATATTGATTGTAATATTGATATAACGATTACTTTAGTGATTTGATACATATACTAGTTTACTGATTTCTCTATTTTACTACCCTATAATTATGGAAATGCTACTATTATGATTTGACTACTGACAAGCATATTACTCATTTACCTTGTGTTTAGTTTAATTGTAGATTTTATTGACTTGTTAGACTTTTTAGCTCATTATATGTGGTTAAATATTTTCAGGTAAAGGCAGAGGATCAGGTGTGCGAGATTGATCAAATTAGGATTTCTCAAGTTTTGTTTCATTATGTTTTAATTATTCTTTTGTATTCAAAATAGAATAGTGATAATATGATTATATAGATCATGAGTAGTGTATATATATATATTTTAAATAAATAAAGATGTACATATAAATGTTTTAATTTCTAAAATTATTTTTGTTATTTATTTCAGATAGATAATATTAGATAACTCTAATTTTCATATGTTAAAAGAAAAATAATAATTATTCCAAATTATATTATGGGGCAACATAGCAATTATGCATAATTCCATATTTATTTGTTTCTTTTTAAGATATATTATATAGATCTATAAATATGAATAGTTTTATGAAATTAAGAATTTTTTCCCACTCCAATTCTCAGAATTTAACAAAATCAATACTACCAACATTCAAAATTTCCAAATATCATCTCAGTACATCAAATATACGAGTTCCATATGCATTTTTTAGCAAATCCCATCAAAAAGCTATATATTCCAAACTTTCTTATGAAATCATTCTCAACTACATGGAAGTTCCAGCAATTCAAGTTTAAAAAACTAGCACTTTGATCAAAAGCCTGAACAATATAAGTTCCACTAATATCAATAGCATTTCCCAGCTATACAAAAAACACTTAAAAGGATAATTCTGCAACAACTCTATAATATTATCAAAATGGGAAATGCAATGAAGGTTTTTATAGATAATCAATCTTATATGAAACAGATTATAGTATAAGGCTTCATTTGTGACAGCTTTTGTACTGCTTTTTAAAATGATTTTATAGTAAAAAAAATTCAAATTCAAGATATTTTTGTATTAAAAAGCTGTTTTTGAAAGCAAGAAGAAAGCTGACCCAAACAAAGCCTAAATCTAAGGTTTTCTGCTGCCCACTGAAATTAGAATTTAGTACTCCTTTGCTTTCTCAATTTAGTTTTCTACCTTCCTTCTTCCCAGCCAGGAATATTTGCAGTAGCTTCATTCACCATTTTCACTAGCCTAACCTGCATGATGAAAGCAGAACAAGAAGCTCATCACCTCATCACTGGAATCAGCTATTTGGGGACCCGAATAACAATAAGGTTTAAAAGGTTCTTAAAACAAAATTGGTTACAGCAAGCAATGAAGTTATCACGTAATGGTCAAAATCAATTAATTACAGAAACAAGTGATAATGAAAATGTTAAATTGTTTCTGGAAACGTATGGCAGTCTCAATTCATGCAAATTTACAAATTTCAGAGTCATGAGATCAGTGCAGCCCCACAAATGCCTGCTTTAAAAGGAATTACTCATCAGTTCATCAAATCATAAAGCTTTACTAAGTTCATTTTGGTCCCTCGCAAAGGAATAATTATTATGTTCGGAGACCGGACGCAAAATGCCGTCCGAAAGCCAACCAAAATGCGCCACATCAGCAGTACCAAGCCACGGTACCGAGCAAGGGGTGAAGTTACACATTCTGGTTGGTCTCCGAAAGGCGTTCGGCGTCCGCACAAAATAATTAATCCTATCAAAGAGTTGAGGGACCATTTTGATCCTTTTCTCATACTCAATAGGAACAAATGGAAAATGATTATTCAATAATTAGCAATGGCCTAATGATGATGACGACGACATGAGTCCAAATACTAAATTAGTAATAAAGGACATACCACACTTTCGGGAACTCCAGGCGGAGGTAATGAAATGTTTCTTGGCGGTGGACCTCGAATGTGTGATCTCTTGTCAAAGCGCCATTCCCCAATCTTTCCGTAAGTCAGTTCACCCTTCAAAAGTAAAAAATATCAAATACAATTGCAAGAAAGGAAAAAAATTTAATATATTATATGATGAACATGTGCCAATAGAATAATACTTGCATGTAAATAAGAAAAAATAACCTTTAAAGAGTAGTCACAACCATACGTGTAATGAATGATGAATGACTTCCCCACCTTCAAATCCCAAGGAGGCTGAAACCAAACATTACAGTATATCTTAAATAGAAATTCAATACCCAACTCAAAAAATATTAACATAAATAGAAGAAAGAAATTTGGGTAAACGAAAATAAAGATTGAAAATGAAAGGTGAAACCTGTATCATAAAATCTTTATGTAGAATATGTTGTACTCCATGCAATGCACTGGCAACAGCATAAGCATACCTATTGTTGCCAATAGAAAAATAAGCTCAATCATCATTGTCCCAACCAATTGCTAAAAATACACAAATATATTGAATATGATGCACACACATTTCAAGAACCCAACCGAAAACTTTATCTGCCTCAGGATCTTCTTTCATTTTGAGGGAGACATTCATCCAAGTAGGAGCAATTCTTTCCAGTTGAGACTGAAGAGGTTCAACAAATAGTCAATAATATGAATATTACAAAAAAATTGCTATAGAATCAATAGATTGGAGAAGATAAAATGATTTCCTAGTTTTTATAGTAAGCACTTTCAACCACCTAAGTCATTGAAACAAAATTGAAAATGAAAATCAAGTTTATGAGTTACAGTAAGCAATTCAAAATGTATGAACTACATATCATCTAAGGCTTCGTTTATGACAACTTTCTTTCTACTTCTTAATCCAGCTTTCTAGTACAAAAATTGAACTAAGAAGTTGCTTTAAGAAGCAATAAAAAAATAGTCTCAAAAGAAACTTAAATCTGCCAGCCCTTATTATCTACCTTCTTTATAATAACCGGAGAATTGCCGATGGGATCAATATTTGTCACAGGTCCTTTGTCCTCAGGATAGAACTTCCTTAGTATTATCTCATTTTCAGATGGTTTAATATAGAAGAACGGGAATGCAGCTGGGTAATCTCCACGAGATAAGTTTGGTAAAGGATTCACAAATATGTGGTCTGGTTCTGCCATTAGTATGTAGCTGCAAATTTCCATAAAGCATATAGAATTCAGAAAAAAAATAATGGATACATAAAAAGGTGTCATGTTAAACAGGTTAAGATAATTCATTCTCACTCTTCCTCAATTTTTGCTTTTTCCAGCCATTGAACAAATGCCCATGGTCGATTCAATACAACATAGCCCTGCCAGAAAGATCAAAAGACAATGAAATAAGATAGCTTGAAATTTAGCAAAGAATGACGACATCCAATTGATTATATCTTTCCATTGAAACACCCACAGAAAAGGATAATAGGAAGCATAGCTAAGATAATATGTGATGAGGACATCCGACCATGTAAGTTTATCAGAAGAGGAGCCGAAGATCAACGGCCATGATTGTACCACTTTATTTTGAGTTATTATTTGTATTTTAATTTATTTATGCATTTTTCTGTTTTTACCCTCATTTGAGGGAGTAGGCTTAAGTAACCACAAGGGGCACTTTTGTCATTTATTTTATTATTGTATTTTGGCTATTTATAGCCCCCTCCTCTTCTTTTTGAGGGATGAATGGTTATTAAGAGAAAATTCTACATTTTGTTTTTAAGAGCTTTGAGAGTTCTTATAAGAGTTGAAGTCCCTAGGTGAGGGCAACGTACTACCCACCAATCACAGGAAGCGTCTGGGCTCGTGGTTTGAAGTTCCTAGGTGAGGGCAAAGTATTACCCATCAGCCGCAGGAAGCATCCAGGCTCATGATTTATCTTCTCCACCGACTCCCTCTCCTCCTTCTCCCCTAGCTGCCACCTTCATCTTGCTCTGACACCATACTGTTACTTAGTGCAATCACTAGACTTCAATCCTTAAGCAGAAAACAAAATGATGTACCATTTGGTATCCTACTTTAGACTGGATTTAAACAAGTTTTAGCTTAAATCCTGCCAAACAAAATTTTAAATCCTACTTTTTCAAAAAATCTCATTTCAATTCCATAATTAATAAAATCAATGATTTGTTGTATCCCAACACTAGGGCTGCAAATGAACCGAGCCGAGCCGAGTATGTGAGTGTTCATGTTTGAGTTCATTTATTATCAGCTTGTTCAAGTTTGGCTCGTATTTGATTCGAGCTTTATTGTTTGTATTCATATTTGTTTGTTTAAATTAATGAGTGTTCATGTTTGGTTCATGTTCGGTTCATATTCAGTTCTTTTAGAGCTTTTCGAGAGCAACATGAAATAGCCTCTTCGACCCTCTCAAGATTTGCTATAATTTAAATTTGCAGGATTTACTAAATCCTACTTGTAGCCAAATAGCCCCTAAATGTTTTAAGCTCAGAAATAGTATTCTGTGATAAAACACAACAAACATAAACAAGGATAAGAAGCTCAATAAAAAAAAAAAACAACAACAACAACATATTAAGATTCCTTACCCTATCCATACCAGCTGGAAGAGGATCCACAACAAAGGTAGGGATCTCATCCATCAAATTATCAGGCTTCCCTGAATGTAGAACTCTTGTGAATCCACCAATCTCTGAACCCTCCATATCCTTCACCTTCTTGAACCAGTAGTACATTATCCTGCACTGCCATTTACTATAAGGCGCATCAGTCGCAGTGAGAGCAACATGAAATAGCCTCTTCGACCCTCTCGCCTTCTTTAAATGATTTGGCATCGCCACAACAGGATCAGCTAGAAGTGAAAGAGCTGAGTGATCTATCAACTGATTAGTAGAACCACTTTTCTGGTTCTGAATTACCATTGTAAAGAAATTGTAGGAGGCAATAAAGAACCCACATCCCACAAAGACGAGGAGAAAAGGTGACGCCTTCCCCATCCCTATTGTAGAAGCTTTTCCAAAGCCTGAAATCAAAATCTTCCAGCAATTCCCTAAACCCTAGCCGCACGCGTCACAATAGCATTGTTTATACTTGATGATCACAATAGCGCATCTGAAAGGCGAGACTTTCCAATCGATTTCAAAATAATAATAATAACAAGCTTCAGGAAAACGCTCAAAATCAAATCTTTTTTAAAATGGCCGATCCAAGGTTAGAAGAACAAGCTTCAGCAAAACGGGATCAAGATGGGCACCAAAGGAAAAATAGGAAACATTCCCAAGACGTGGAGAAGTGCTCTTAAAATCTATAATGCTTCCATCTTTACGTCTTTAGGAGAGAAAGAGAGATCCCAAACCTGGTGAAAGACAGCGCAACTGGAATATCATCGGATGAAACCGGAAAAGAAGAAGAGGCGGCAGACTTCTCGGCCGGCTTAGCTTGGCTTGATCGGAAAGAGCCGCCGGCGAACAAAAGGAGCAGAGAGGTAGACAGAGGGGGGCGGTCGAGAAGAAAATCACGAATCAAAGTCGTGGACTTTGCGAAGGGCAACATGGCGCTCGTGATGGTATTTTATTGGGCAGGAACGGAGACTTCGCCTCCGTATGCAGTAGGAATTGTGCCAACAAAAAAATGGCATTTTTGAGCTCTCACATGTCCACTGCACGACATTAACCTGTAATTAGCTGGATCATAATTGTGACCGTTATTCGTAGAAAAGGAGCGCCGGCGGTCAAGAGGAAGAAGACGGAAGAAATTCCTCAAAACGTTAAGATCAATGATTTATCCAAACAAAATAACATTCAAAGCATATTAAATAATATTTTATCATTCATATTAAAAAATCCTTATAAAAATTTTTGGTTTAGACATGGAATTTTTTAAGATAAATTTTTTTATTAAAATAAAATGAACAAATACTTTTAAAACCCCTAAATCACTTATTTACAAGAGATAAGGTCATATTTAATATTAGAATTGTTTATGTCATTTTTAGAATGGGGTTTATCTGACTAAAGCTTTGATAAGACTTAGCCTTGTATTGTCTCTTGTCATAGGAGCCATTTGATTTGGTAAAAAAGAAATACAAATTAAAACATTTACAGTATAAAATAGATATAGTGTATTTAAAATATTTTAGAAATATTGGATTGAGTGTAAAATAAATATAGGATATTATTTTTTATGTTTGATTTAAAGTTAAATGAATTTGGTGTAAAGCTCAATAACAGTAGCCAACAATGTTAGTGTCGGGGTGTTGGGAGATACTGATAGTTAGCGCATGAGCAGAGGCAGTGGTGAGGGCTAGTAAGGGGTGGTGGCAAAGGGGGGCAATGGTGATCGACGACATCTGGTGATGGAAGCAGGTGACAACAACAACAGTTTGCTATGTATCTCGAAATTGGTCATCCAATTTTGAATTACATCAAAATGAACTAAGGAGTGAGTTTCAAAATCCTCAAAAATTTATTTTGAATTTAATTTTTATCAAACTGAAATTCAAATTTCTAAAACTCGTACATTTGAAGTATTTTACATCAAAATCTTTCAAACCAGATGACTTCTTAGTGGATTTAAGCCTTTCTTAGCTACATTAGGCGAACTTCTAGCTTTAGGCTTCGTTTGAGGCAGATTTCTTATTGCTTTCTAAAGCAGCTTTCAAATACAAAAATTTTTAATTCAAATAATTTTTAAATTAAAAATCTGCTTTAGAAAATAGTACAAAAGTTGTCTCAAAGAAAATCTTAGTGGACTAAATCCCCGCTAGGTTGAACACTACTCTTACCACTTTGCATAATAAAGACTTAGGCATGCATATACATACCCTAGACTTTGACTAATTTGAATCCCAGAATTAGCCATAAGCCCTTCAAGACGAAAAATTATTAGGTGCGGAGTGTGCACCGTCTGCATAAATATGGGTACCTAGCGGTATCCAGCGGTATCCAACGGTACCGAGTGCCGGTACCTAGCGCGGAATAAGGCTTGTGCGGACGGTTCTCCCCGTCCGCACTCCTCACCTAATAATCTCTCCTTCAAGACACCCATGTTGTCCTCAACCTAGGCTAGGTTCAATCCATACCAATCCAATAAGGGAACCATTTGCTTAGGCTTGATGGTAACTATCCAACATTAAGCTACCATAAGCCAAGAACAATGCCCAAAGGCCAATTGGAACCCTCAAGTCCCCTTGAACCTATCTAAACCTAGCTAAACCCAATAGGGAGAAATTATTTTGTGCAGACACCGGACGGTCTGGAGACCAACCAGAATGCGCCATGTCACCCAACACACAGCGGTACCGAGCACCGGTATCGAGCAATAAAATGACGTGATACATTCTGGTTGGTCTCCGGACGCTGTCTAAAATAATTTTTCCCCAATAGGACACAATTGGATCCAATAAACCCTAGGTTGCAACTGAGCATATACAAATCCAATCAAGCCAAATTTCTCAACCTAACTGAAGCTAAACATGTACTAAGAATAATTCTGTTATTCCACCACTAAATCCCTCATGATTTCTTAACTTCTTAGGTTTTTGAACATTGCTGGACTAAGCTAATAAGATAGAACATTTTATGTAAGCAACAAAAGCCCATGCAAACACAACAATCATTGCATCATCATACTTTACAGCAGTTGCAGGTCAGATCAAAAAATCTTGAAGGCATGGACTTTTAAAGTTCATCATCAACATCTACAAAAATATAATGGAAAACCACATCCTTTACACTTTAAAAGTCTTAATATTACTATTTTGTTTGGGATATTTTTTTATTGCTTTCTAAAACAGCTTTTTAGTACAAAAATTTTTTAGTTTAAAAAAATTTGTACTAAAAAACTACTTTAAAGAAAGCCGTCCCAAATGAAGCCTACATCATATCTGTTTTGCGCTGCTTGAACTGCAATAGAAGCTTAATAGGGACCATGAAAGCTTTTCTTATGTAACCTGCAGCATTTCCTCTCATTTCTACTTGGGGATTCCTTATTCAGCTCAGGATATTCTGAGCCAAGTTCTCTCAATAAAATCCTTGTTGATTTTTTACATCCAATCAATGACAAATGGTAGGAGCCAGCAAATTTCATTGTTTTTTAATATATGAATTCTGTTTACAAGAAATTAAGGTTTCGTTTGGGACTAGTTTTTTATTGCTTCTTAAAACAGTTTTTTAATACAAAAATTTTAATTTTTGTACTATAAAACCGCTTTAAGAAGCAATGAGAAAGCCGTCCCAAATGAAACTTAAATGCGCCTCAAAAGCCAAACTGATGGATTTGTTGATGATTATGTAACATGTTGGAGCTCCATATTTTCATATTTGGGCAGGAGGCAAAAGAACAAGATATCACATTTGAATGTAACTTACATCAGCCAGTACTCTTGCAAAAGAGCCTTGCAATTTTTAACTGGGTTTTGGCTGTAATCTCAGTTCGTTTCAAATCAAGCTCTCCCTTCTTGGCTTCAGCTTGAGCCCATATTTTCTCCACATCTCTCATGGCTTCCATTCTCAATTGCTCTACCTTGAGTGCAGTCTCTGCAAGACTCTGGATGCTTTCAATGACGTCAAAGTCATCTCCTTCCTCCTCTCTTTCCTGCATCCTTCTCTTCTTCTTCTTCTTCTTCTCCTTCTTCTCCTCTTTGTCTTCTCTCTCTTTGTAGGCATCATTAGTTGGCTTGCTTGGCTCTGCATCTATCTGTGCTTGGCTATGTTCTTTGTTCTCTCCTTTGCCTTCTAAAGGTTCCTGCAAAGAGTTGAAATTTTTCAAAATTTGTTGGTGTATCTTAGTAATAATAAGTTACATAAATGACATTCTTATAAAGATATCATCCTGATTATTCAGTGTTCTCATCCATCTTTATTGAATATCATCTTCTAAGAAAAGTATTTTTTGATCTTCATCTTTAATACACTTCACTTGAACTAGCTCCTTACTACTCCTATCTCTTTGTTTGGCTAACTTATACATATATCTTTCTCCCTCTTTAGTGATATTATAATGATAAATCAATAAATTCATATTTTTATAGTGATATATGACTAAAAAATTTTAAATATATATATACTCACACTCACATACACACTCTCTCTCACTCAATCACTCACATAATGTCTCCCTTTCTCAATCACTATATCTCCTTACAATTCATCAAGAACATTTTTTTGGTGGACATAATTTCTTTGTCATTCAGTACTTCCTGCTTGGAGTTGAAATGCTAAATGCTTATGTCAACTAAACAATCTTTTTAACAACTTCACGCAAGCCTTCACAAGTCTTCTTCTCAACTCAAACATGATTCTTCTAGAATTATCATATTCATAAGGCCTATTTATTATGCTCTTGATAAGTCGATATGCTTTTGTCGATACTCGATAGTAGCTAGATGTAAAAGATGGAATATTTGGAAGTCATTGCCGCCTGCACATGGTCTCTAACATATCATATTTGCCCAACCCTCAACCTCCTTCCCTATTGTCAATACCAACTGTAAGTGTAAGTGAGTAGAGTTGAGCTTAAGCTGGACTAATTAATAAAGTTTAGGCTCGAGTTTAAGCTCAATTTCACGAGTTTCTTTGAACTTACGAGGAGAGTCATTTATTATAATATAAAAAGATGAGTCAAATTCAAGTAGTTTTTCTAATTAATTGACAAAAAGAATGATATATTATAAGATAAATAATAAAAAAATCAATTGAGATAAGAAAGAGAAATATAAATTTTAAATGTTTATAATAATTGTGTTATTCAATCCTTAAATTTTAATAAATTGTTATATAGATTATTTTTTTAAGGAGTTGACTCATGAGCTAACAAGTTGAATTAGAGTTGACATAAATTTGACTTGTTAACTCATCGAGCTCGACTTACAATATAATTATCGAAGTAAGCCACCAACAACTCACAAGTTCACTTGACTTAATTGCACCAATAGCAAATAGTTATGGGGGTTGAGGCTATAAAAGACCTGCGACATATGCGGTAGGTTGGAGGTTGAGGCAATTAAGAGGAAGCTGATGTGGCTTGGATTGGCATGAATGTGTGATTTGTTAGAGGTTTTAGTTTAGGATTTATGTAAGATTTAATAAAAAACATATATTAATAGGGTGAGGCGTACACCTCAAGCCAATGAGGTGGGACGCGCTTAGTCAAATTGAGGCGCTAGACTCATAAAAAAAACTTGAAGCGTAAGCTTCGAGATGTTATTCATCAGAATTGCACTGAGGTAGGCCTCAAGGCGCAAGGCGAGTCTTATATTGCATAATTTAAAGCAATGCTCTCTGCAATATCTCTCTTTCTTGTGTTCACAATAAGGGAGTTTTCATGCATAATATGTGAAACTTAGAAAGAAGAAAAGTAAAATCTTAGCAAAAGAATTTCTTTCCTACCAAAAAATCTACTCATTTTCTTTCCCAAATGAATTATGAAAAGATTAAATGTGGTTGAATTATATGATTTATAGACTCAAGTTGGATGAATATTACTAAGAATATGAAGTATAGGCCTTAATTATTTCTTCTCTCTTTAACATATTATTTCGATATTATATAAAAATCACTTTTAACTTTTATTTTTACTTTACACAATTTTTGAATTTTAAGGTTTACGCTTTAAAATGCCTTGAGGCTTACGCCTCGCCTCATGAACAACACGTTGGGGATGAGGAATAAACACCAAAATGATGAAATAAGCAAAAAAAAGGTAAAAGAAACTAAAAGTAAAGAACACCAGGATTTAACGCAGAAAAAAATCAAAATAGGGAAAAAAACCACGGAGCCGCACCACACCAAGAAATCCATTATGAAAATGGGGAGAAATAATTATAGATCTCTTGCTCTCTCTTCATGCTTCTCTTCTCACATGCACCGTTCTCAATGCCTAACCTAACAAAAAATACAAGAGAAAGCCAAGTAAATAATCCAAAGGGACACAACCCTTCATAAAAATGAGAAAGAAAACCGTCCAGTTCGTCTCATAGTGTTGCGGCGCTTGAACATCTATCTTGATCTTCTGTGGTGTTGTATTTAGACGACTGCGGTGCTCCGCTCTCTGTTGTTCAGCGCCGGGGTGCTTGAGAACACACCGTCGGGGCAATCGGGTACATAACGTCGGGGCGCTCGGGTACACAGCGTCGGGTGTTATATAAAAAAAAATTCATGTGCTTTGCAACCTGAACCCAAGCAAGGGATAAACCCCCGCACCCCCAGCAAGAAGGACAAACTTGAGGTTCGAGGCAACATAATAACCCGATTGATTAACAAAATCATATTCCACACATAATAATCTCCCACTTGAAAACTTATTGTAATGAATCATTCTCCCGATCTGTAACACTAATCATAGTACATGTAGTGTGGCTCACCCCTCCTCTGATCCTCTATGAAGACTAACTGGAGCTACACATAGCTTTAGTTTATTAACTGTCACCGTCTTCGTCAGCATATCTACAGGATTCTCGGTCATGTGTATCTTCTCCAAAGATAACTGACTATCTTCCATAAGTGACCTGATGAAATGATACCGAAGTTGGATGTGCTTCGTCCTGCCATGGAATGCAGCATTCTTGGCTAGATGTATAACAGTCATGTTGTCACTATGTAGCTCCTCATTCCTTTGCCTTTTGCCCTTTGCAAGTTCTGTGTTGAAACTCTGCAACCAAATCATCTCCTTGCTAGCCTCAGTGATAACAATGTACTCCGCTTCTGTGGTTGAGAGCACAACAATCTTTTATAACTTAAAAATCTAACTGACTGCAGCCTTTTCCAAAGTAAAAATATAACCTATTGTTCTTCTCCTGCCATCAAGATCTCCATCAAGATCAGAATCTATATATCCATGTAGATCAATCTCTGCACCACCAAAGCAAAGAGCTTTGTTAATTCATCCTCTCAAGTACCTGAGAATTCACTTAACCACCTTCTAATAAAGTTTGGCTAGGTTACTTATAAATCTGCTGACTACTCCCACTGTATATGCTATATCAGATATTGTGCAGATCATAGTATACATCAAAGCACAATACACCATGAACTTCTTGTCACGATACTTGCCACCATTATTTAATCTGAGACACTTGAGCTTTAAACTTATCTCAAGCTAGCCTTCCACTTCTTAAAAGCATCAAATATATCTGACTTGTCTTTTAAGAAGTACACCTATATTTTTTTTAAGAAGTACACCCATATATTTCTACTGTGATCATTAATAAGTAACAAAATATAAAGATTCTCTTATAGAAGCAACATAAGGACCTCATACATCAGTATGCACTAACTCCAACTTCTTTGACTTGACTTTTCAACCAATATTTGAAAAACTCATCATATATTGCTTGTCATATAAACAATCTTCAAAAAAATCTAAATCTATAGATTTTAAACCATGAAGCTTTCCTCTAGTAAGAAGTGAATGCATACATTTCTTACTTATATGGCCAAACCTTTGATGCAAAAGTCCTCCATCAACTTCTGAATCTTCTACTCCAATATAATATATTCTTCTATTGATAAAATATTGGGTGCCTTCAATACTTCAATGAGCTATAACCATAGCCCCTTTTGTCACCTTTCACGTATCTTCTATGAATGATGGCACATAGCCTAAATTTACAAGCTGAGTCACAGAAGCTAAACTCCTCTTTATTCTCCAAATTGAACCATCTAACATTCTGATATCAAAATCTCCATGTCTAATAATGTTGCAGGGCTTGTTGTCCCCAAGATACACTTCACCCAAATCACTTTGAGTTCTTCTCTGTTCTCCCTCTACGATCTCCACCTCATTTTCATCCCTACAAATTTCAGAATTCGTATTTTTCTGTTCCGGCCCATCGCCTTAGATGCCACCGTTTGGTTGTGGAGATCCATCATTTTCTTCATCATGTCCAGTAGATTTGAGAATTGTTCTTCCATGGAGGAAATTCTATCATCCACTAAATCTTTGATTTGATTCATCTCCCCCTCAAGACGTTCTTCCAAAGCATCCACCTTCTAGGCCACCATCGTTACCCGGATCTTTGTTTGTCTCAAAAAACAGGAGTTCGTCCCCAAAAACAACAAAAATACCCATTCGAATTGAAAAAACTGCTACAGGAATTTGCCAAAAACAGCCACAAAATACAACCCAAACACCACTCCGATACCAATTTGATAAGAAACGCTTGTAGATTTCAAGCGTTACGTATCAATCTTGGGAAATCAGTGAGAAAACTCCACCAAACTCAAAGAAAAACCTGAAAAATAGTAGAATTTATGTATTATTGGATGAAAGGAATATGAAAATACCAAGATACAATTGATCTTCTATTTGAGAGAAGGATCTATCTCTCCCGATTCTCTAGACGCCGCTAGAGCCCAAGAATGTCAAGTACCAAAACAGAAATCAGCCACAAAAAAGATGACCTGACCCTCATATAAACTTCTACTTAAAGAAAATAACAAAATAATTCAAAAGGACTAAACAACCCTTCTTCAAAATCATTTAGGAAGTGGACCCCACCCCAATAGGGGATTTGAGGCCGGCGGTAACAGCAGGACTTGCGCCTGCTGTAATAAGTGGGCCAACTGGACCGGCTAGACCGGTCCCTTCTGGACCAGTTTGTTTATATTAGAAGGCCACTCATAGAATCCACTGTATTCAATCCAATGATTCCTTTTGGAGTAGCCTCCTATGAGTAGAAACAAGATACCATGGCCCCACGTTGACGTCTTCCAAATACTAACGATAACAAACTTATATCAATAGAACTTCATTAATGTGAAGCACCCAATTAACCTTACAACTGATTAACAAGTATTGTAGATAGAGGAGAAATTATTGATCTTTTCTCTCAAAGTTCATCATCTCTCAATCCATTTGAATTCATCTTTTATATTATGTTAGCTTGGATACCTTCAAGGCTAGTGATAGGAAACACATGTAGGAAAAAGAAAGAACCTTGGCTGAATTTGAAATTCAGCAGTTTCCAAAAGCAGAAATTAAGAGTAGCGGGTGGAATAACTAAATAGAAACTCTTTTAATTGATAATAGTGGAAGAAAACAACAAGATATAATTGATCCTCAATTGGAGAAGATGATCTAGCTCTCCCAATCTCTAGAAGCCGCTAGAGCCCAATTAAAACCTATGAAGACTCCAAATTTCAATAAAAGACAAGTCAACCTAACCCTAGGAAAACATCCTAATTAAAGCATACAATCATAAAGGAATTCTCTAAAAAACCACTTCTTTGAATTTTTCCTCATAAACCAACTAAAAACCTTCCGAATTGACGCAAGTTGGACCCCGCGCAGAGAGGCAGGCTCTATTTGTGAGGAGCAAGCGTTCTGCCCCTGATAGAAGCAGAGCTAATCCCTCTTGGACCAGTCTAATAGCTAGTCAACTAGCTCAAACCTCTAGACCATTTTAGTGTTCAAACAGTCATTACTCGATTACAAATGATTGGTTTGGATCATACACCTATGTGTAATTTTTTATATAGCATTACTTAGCTTCCTTAAGGAGTGCTAGCTTTTACCTTTCAATCTTGTTCCTCTATTCACCAAGAACTTAGAAACTCCTAGCACTACATGAAAATTCCTCATTATCTCCAAGAATCAAGATATATTAATTCTTCCAAAATAATGTAGTTGGACGCTCATCAGAGAGACAATCTACACTAATCAACATAAGGGGAAAGTGAAACCAAATTAATGAAAGCAAAAAACATTAAATTTTATTTGACACTTTCATTTTAGAACAAGCTACAACTAAACAATAAGCAGCTTGAAAAAAGAGAAACCTATTTATAATTCTGTAAACATTTAATCATTACAAGCCACTCAAACAATTACAGTATGAAGTTGAATATCGACTGGTTTCTCATCTCCTTTTGAAATTCAAATGACCATTCTTCTCCTCATGCTCTCTTCCACATCTATAGTATGTCAAGATTACATTCAGTTCCCAAGTTTTCATATATAGTATGTCAATTGTCAAAATAGTATTATTGAAAGGAATAACTCTATAGAGATTTAGGTTGAGGTCCCATTTTGGTTATATGATTTCAAACTTTTGTAACATCTATGTGGCCAGAAGCTAAGCATAAAAATAATATTTTATTAAATCTAATTCAGAATATAAGAAGTTTCTTCTTGGTTACAATATAACTCTCTCTCTCTCTCTTCTTTGATAAAATTTTTAATTTTGCAAAACAGACTATTAAAAAATCATAATTTTGTCTTGTAAAATAGAAAAAAGTATGTTTTACTCGCTAAAAATAACTAGTTAAAACAGAAAACTTATATTTTTACTAAATTAGAAATAATATCATATTTTGATTTTTCTAAAGTAAAAGCAAATTTTAAAAGATATCATAAATTTCAGCTATATTTTTAAACACCTTTTGCAAAATTTTAAGGCAAAATTATAAAAAGGAGCTCGTTTAATACACTAATATGCAGAAGGATCATATTAACGAAAAAATTTAAAAAAGAGCGAAACAGGTCTACCAAATAACACATTAGAAACTGAAAAATACTAACGCGTTTTTTGCGGATCACGGGCGCGCGAAATGATGGGGGCATGGAATCGTAGGAGCAAATCACTGGAGCAATTTAAGGAATTTGGGGAGGAATTTATGGAATTTGAGGGGAAACCGGAGTTTTGGAAAGACGGTTTCTTAAGAAACCGGATGACATAAATAAGAAACTGAACCCTGTTTTACAAAATCCGGTTTATTAAGAAACTGGTTCTCAATAATCCGGTTTCGCTCTTTTTTATTTTTTTTTTAAATTAGGATTCATCTGAGTATTTATGTATTAAACCAGCTCCTTTTTATAATTTGGCCAATTTTAAAACATTTCTCCCATACAAATTAAGAGCATGAAATTAAAAAAATAAAATCCATCTTAACAATGAATTTATTAGAGTGTAAGTGTGTACACTTATAGTTCTATCATTTAAATTTTTATTTCAATGATGAATTCAGTTACTGCAACAAAATAAAGTTATGAAAACAGCTAAAGCAAGCATCGGCTCAACTCAGCTATATATTTTGTTGTTTACTTAGTTAATAGACAACTCATAAATCAAAACTCACCTTACCCGCTCCCACGCCGCCGTTCATCGCTGGAGTGCCACCAATCGGAACCGCCGCCGCCGCCACCGGCGATGCCTCAAGCATAAAACCACTACCACTATCATTCTTCCAAGTCATCAGCCTCTGAATCCGGCCAAAGAACGGCCACCGCGAAAACCCTCCTCCTCTTCCTCCGGCTACCGTGGCGGCCGACTCCGACCGGTATCGCTTCTTCATGGACTCAATCTTATTCTTACACTGTGACGGCGTTTTAGCGGACCGGGCCCCGCCAGCCCGGCCCGAAACTCGACGGGCCACGTCATCCCAGTCCCGGCCCTTAAGCTTGGCCCGGCTGCGTAGCTCCCATTTGGACTCGTAGGCGTCGAGGAGGCAAGCCACGGCCCCTTCGCTCCACTCGTCGCGGCGGCCGCCGGCGACCGGCGGGTTGTTCGGGTTATTAAAAAGCGGCTTGGTTTCCATGATTGGGTGGAGATATTATTGTAGATATTGGTTTTGTAATTGGAGGGGGGAAAGTGGAGAGTGGGGTTATTTGAACTTGTGATGGGGGAAAAAAGGAGAGGTGGAGAAGGTTTGCCAAATGGGGTTATCATGGTTTTGGAATATGGCTTTTGTGGTTTCATGAGAAAGTATTCAACTTTTTGGGTTCTCTTTGTAAGAAAATTATTAGGTCCAATCACCTGACAGATAGATACTTATGGATTTTTTTCTGTTTACAGTAAAAGCACAGCTACTGTAGTAGCTACGCTTTGACTGTAGACAGAGAGAAATCTGAATGATTCTCTCTGTCTGGTGTCCGCACCTAATAATTTGCCCTCTTTGTGGCATTGGATGTTTGAATTTAAAGTATCTTTGGTATAGATTTGGTGTTAATTACAAAATTTTATTTTACTTAAGGTATGAATCTTAAAGCAATCGGGATGATTAGGGAGCCGATTTGTTTCCCTCTTGCACAACAATGTTGCACTAGATGGAGATGACGGTGTCAATCTATCATTGCAACTCTATCCACGGGCCTGTGGACCACCTAAATGCCTTTTTATTTATTTATTATTTATTTTAAAGCTTTTTTTTTTTTGACCACCTAAATGCCTTTAAACATCTCTTTACCACGAGCATCATAGTGGTGGTGCTCAAGCATGTTGTGGTGTTGTTGACTAATTTTCTTATGAATCATAGAATTTTTCATAAATGATAATAAATGTAAATGAGATGTATGTTGACTAATTTTTTTATGAATCATAGAATTTTTCATAAATGATAATAAATGTAAATGAGATTTATGTATGATTACATAAAGTAAAAAATATATTTATTTAGGAGTTTGATTTATATATAAAATCTCTCTAATTTAGAAATATGAGAAATTAGGATAGGAAGAAACTAATAATATAATATTGGTGCATAAATTATAGTGATTCATATCATTTCACCTATAAGAGGATGCCTATTCGAGCCATCCTTCATGCCCCCACTATCTTTTTTACCACTACCTAATTTGTCACCCCATGGTCATGCCACCTTCATCTTGAGGAAGAGACTGCCCCAACCATTTTCAATTGCTCTCTAACCATCCTTTTGCCTTTGCTTCTTTTATTGTTTTTAGTTCATAACACCTTTACCTTATGAGGGATGTCTAACTTTCTTATACTACCAACAGAGTTCGAAGAATGGCGTCCAATGTTTTCTCATAGTTCAAAGAATGGCGAATTTTCTTATGAATCATAGAATTTTCCATAAATGATAATAAATGTGAATGAGATATATGTATGATCACGTAGATTAGTAAAAGTAAAAAAAAATATTTATTTAGGAGTTTGATTTAGATATGAAATCTTTCTAAATCTCTCTAATTTAGAAAGATGAGAAATTAGGATAGGAAGAAACTAATAATATAATATTGGTGCATAAATTATAGTGATTCATATCATTTCACCTATAAGAGGATGCCTATTCGAGCCATCCTTCATGCCCCACTATCTTTTTGACCACTACCTAATTTGTCACTCCATGGTCATGCCACCTTCATCTTGAAGAAGAGATTGCCCCAACCATTTTCAATGGCTTCTCTAACCATCCTTTTGCCTTTGCTTCTTTTATTGTTTTTAGTTCATAACATCTTTACCTTATGAGGGACGTCTAACTTTCTTATACTGCCAACAGAGTTCGAAGAATGGCCTCCCTTTGTAACTCATATGTAGTACTAGTGCAAGCAATTTAAATTAGATTAGTTCCTGTTTTTTTTTTTTTTGCATAAACAATCATGTCCATTACCTGCTATATTTAACTTATCTAGTACTTGTTCTTGTACACTGCTCAATTTTATCTGTTGGTTGGGAGCTTAGACTATCAATCAAGAGGTCCTGGCATGAGTTCGAGTCTTATGTATACGATGTGTGCGTGAGTCTACCTTAATTGGCCTAAATGTAAAAAAAAAGTACTTGTCCTTGTTTGAATTTAAGGTGATCTCTCTCTCTATGCTTACAACATTTAACAATAGCTATTTTTATAAGAAAAAATTACAACCTTGTAAAATATAATAAGTTATCTTACTTGCAACAAAATGATAAATATCTCATCTCTTATACCCAAAATTAGCCAAAGATATTCAAGTTCTTTTCAAAAAAGTTGTCTTAGTATTTTCATAAGAAAAACAATATTGCAAATGATTTTATGCACATTTGTGATGATCTATGTCAAACCCAACCCGGCCCACCTCTAAATAAGTTGAATTGTATTACAATATTTTGAGCCTAAAATCTAATAATTATATTAGAAATTTAAGACTCATCCAATAATCATCTAAATTCTAGCCAATTTGGAATTAAAATTGCCCAAAATAAATTTAATACAATTAAATTTTTTCGAATCCAAACCAATTTTTTTCGATTCGCTTAAGAAGATCTAAACTTTAGCCAAACTTTATGTAAGTTGGCTCAAATTTAATTTTTTTTAGGTCGAATTCGGGTCCAAATTTTTCGTCAGATATGGTATTAACACCCTTATTTATAACTCTATCATTGTCAGATAAAAAAAATATAAATGAATAGAGAAGAGACCAGTAATAAAACTCCAACAGAGTCCAAAAAAAAAAAGAATTATAAATAATTCTTTCCCTATCATATAGGAAATTTGCTAATGTAAGTTTTGTCTTGAAGTGAGAAGCAGTGGGAAGGCAATGGGAGAAATAATAATGGATTGAGAGTTATAATTCACCATTTTGTGTGGAAATTAGGCGTCATCCCATTTTCTATGGCCATGGCTTCTTCACTTCACTGTCTTCCACTTCACCAAAGGGCAGTCATGTCTTTTTACTTCATATATATATATATATAACATAACACCAATATAATTGTATCAAACAAAACTTTAATGTTGAGCTTAAGAAAGTTGAAGCCATGAGGTGTTGCCTATCAGAACATTCATAGAGGAAAATAAGGCTAAACTTTTAAAATTTGAGGCACTTTTTGGATGTTATTATTGGTATTCTATTGAAAACTTCAAAGTTAAGTGTGCTCATATTCTAGCATTTTTAGGATGGGTGGTCTCCTATAAAGTTACACCAAATAGATAAAACGGTGATATCATTAGGCCAAAGCGGTAACATCATAATGTTTAAACAAAAACATAAGCAGAAGCAAATATTAAAAGCAAAATAAAATTTATATGTTCTTGATTGAACATAAAAACTTTTTTCTTTATTTTTAGATTTTTGTTTTTATTTTCTCTTGCTCACAAAAAACAATCCTAAGCTATCACAATATTATCATCACAAATTTCATGAAAATGATATGTAGGAAATAAAAATGCAAGAAATAAAAGTGTGAAATAGAAGGAATGAGCACACCATAAATTGTATATTGATTCGGCCAAACCTCGATCTATGTCCACTCCCCAGAGTCCTCCTCTCTGAGTATTGCACTAAATCTTTAGTGGCTCTCATTTAGCTCCCACAGTAAAACATAGAAGCCCTTATAAAATCACTTCCACCCTTCCATAATAGAGTTGATAACCAGATGCCTTTTCACTCTCCTGGTGAGTGGTGAGATAGAGAACCTAAAATTCTTTTCACCCTCCTGGTGAGGTAGAGAACTCGAAATCTTTTTCACCTTCCTGGTGAGACAGAGAACCCGACGATCTTCAGCCTTGAAGACTTTCTCCACAAAGCAACCCAAAAGATCAATAAAGACACATGGAAGAACCAAGATAAACATTGATTTGATTGACTAAGCATAGTGATTAATTTAAGCAACAATTTAAATATCATATAATACAACTTGGTTTGTATAGTACGATCAATTCAAAATTTAAATATTAAAATACTTTCCTCAATCTGATTGGCTGCTAGTGTTCTTGAGTTAAACTGATCATCTTGTACGATTTGGCTCATACAATACAATTAGTTCAAAAATATTAATTACTCAATTAGTTATTGTAATCAATCTTCTGAATAACTGATCGGACAGTACGATCGAGTTCATAATATACGATTAGGTCAAAATTTTAAATTCATTTTTTCACTCCCCCGTGTGTGTGCACGATCACTAATTTAGCATATACATTTACATGACTTTAACTCAAGAAATATAAAAATAAAGGAAAAATTACAAAAAACTTGCAAAATACTATCTTATTTTACCCAGACTTGAAATATGAATTTTTCGTTGCACGGAATATGATATACCTGAAATATTAGTACACACAAAAGTAAATATGCACTACAAATACTTGGAGAATAAAGAGACAATCAATAATTTTATTATCATCAAAATCACAAACTCGGTATTCCGAATTGCAACAACGTGAAGTAGTTTATCTTGAGTGTAAACCAAATTTCTTCACTTTTGAGTGAATCTACATCACAAGCTTGCTTGATCGCCACCCACCACTCTGCCCCAATACAATGGGCTTTGAAATCTTTGAATCTAATATAAGATGAGTGCAATGTATGATTAATTTGTATTACACTCATCTCAAAGTAGATTCAAATATTTTAAAATTCATCTTAATAAAAAATATTGATCAAGATATAATTAGGACCATGGACTTTCAATTTATATTTGAGAAGAGTCTTATGAAATAATTTATAATATAATTTTTTTATGTTTATATTATTTTATAATTATATATATTATTCTCTCTCTCTCTCTCTCTCTCTCTCTCTCTCTCTCTCTCTCTACTCCTTCCTTGTCTGGCCAACTAGCAAAGGAACAAATGGGGCAAGGTTTGAGGAAGCTAAGTAATGAAATTTTCTTCTCATTTCAATTATATTGTAGATGCCATTTGGGAATGCTTTTTATTTTTATTTTTATATAGTTTTAAAAAATATATTCAATTTATATTTTTTGAAAATACTCAAAATGGCTTTTATAATGTTTTTTAGTTGCTCTATTTTATCTATTTAATTCACCTTAAACACCGCTCATTATTGTCGACCAATTGTTACCATCACAATGGACCCCATCACTGTTTGTCGTTATTATAATAAAAATAAAACATTGCTTATTTAGAATATCAAATATATATATATTTTAAATTTTATATTAAAATATAAATAAAATAAAATGATTTATTTATTGTTAGATTCAATGATTATGCTCTTTGCAATAAAAAAACTATGAATTTCACTTCAAACTTTATTAATGTAAGATTAGCATATCTAAACTTTTATGTAGAGCTATGACAATCAATATTAAGATCTAGTAGTTTGTTATCCAATTTTATGCAAGATTTAGACAAAGGGTTTGTTTGAGAAAACTTTCTAACTACTTTGTTTTTTCATACAAGAACCATAACTTTATTTAGCTAATGCATCTCACTGTTTTATTAAACGGGTCAATCTGAACTTGAATTTTTTAGATCAGATCCAAATTAGATAGGCGGTTTATATCATTTATTGGCACTCTTATTGTCGAATTTTATGCAAATTTTCTTAAATAAGCTAAGTTTAAATGAGTTTCTATGCATTTAACACATCTTTTCAGTGAATATCATAGCATAAAAATATTATTTCAAAGTATTCACTAACTTATCATAGTCTTGCTTAGTGGCTGGAGAGAAAGACCTGCTGCAAAAGGAACAACTTGACATAAAAAGGCTAATTCAAGATGTATTGGATGCGAAGTTTACTAGTCTTGAGAGCACCATAGAAACTATGGATGATTTCTACCATGTAATTTATGAGATTGTGGAGTAAGTTCTCTATACTATTCATGACTTATTAGATGCTCAAAATCTAATATTAAGTTTTGTTTGGGACGGTTTTCTTATTATTTTCTAAAGCAATTTTTTAGTATAAAAATTTCTTAAATTAGAATTTTTTGCACAAGAGATCTAGCTGTTTTTGAAAGCAATAAAAAAGTTGTCCCAAACGAAATCTTAATTACCATTGTCATAGTTAGTAGACCAAAACAAGAAGGCAAAGTTATGTGATCAGTTTCTTTTGTTTTGTGCTACTCTTTGTTCTCAGGCTACTAAGTGAAAAGAAAGGGGCTATGCAATTCAAGTTACCTACCAAAAAAAATCTTAAAAAAGAAGTTGATGTGAGTGATTTTTTGTATATATACTTGTTTTTCTTATGGTTGGTTTTCCTTTGTGTGTCTTCTTCTTCTTCTTTTTCTATTTATTTGCAAAAACACCATATATTTTACAATAATCACTAGCTTATAACTTTTAAATTGAATTATTGATAGAGAGTGTTTATGTCAAGTGTCAAAAAGTAGTATTAATAGAGACCATCTAGGCAAACTAATTAGAGAAAGAGGCAAGGCAAGTGCCTCAATGATCATTGATAATGTGTACTATCTAGCTATCAATGAAGAGGCAATGAGGTTGCTAGAGGCGGAGTCGTGATCATGGTTATCGGATATTCAAGATATAATTCAATATTTAGGATAACCCTTATTTACCATCTCATTATGACAAAGACTTAAGCTTCATTAGGTACAACTTTCTTTCTGCTTCTTAAAGCAGCTTCCTAGTACAAAAATTTTAATTTTTATACTAAGCAAGAAGAAAACCGTCTCAAACGAAGCCTTACACTTCGTTTGAGACGATTTTCTTACTGCTTCTTATGCCAATTTATATGTTTGTATCATCCATAAACCTTAACAAGCTATACAAATACAACACAAGCATCTCACTTCTCCAACATCTATCACTCTCTCTATAGAATAATTAGAACTTACAACTCCACTTCATCTTCCTTGCAGGCAGTTCTGGACAAAAGAGGTGCATTTGCCAACAAGAGCTTCCCTCTGAACAATCAGGAGCTCAAGCAGGTCATCCAAAATGTAATCAAAATAGAATATTTTCAAATTGGAAAAGGAGCAAAAGACATATTTCTCTACATATTTGGTGTTCCAGTTGTTGGCTTGCTTGCCAAGAGGATAATTCCAGGTCCCACTGCATCCATACCTGATGAGATCTTCATTCCTGCAGTGACCTCTGGCACCATTATTCTTCTAGCCAAGACCAACAGGATCTGAAACATATATGAACTAATTTATGCATCTTCTTCAAGAGTTATGGTTATTACTTTCAGTTTGATTATAAAAAAATTAATGTAAATGAGATTAGTTTTAATATTTAACAAACTTATCAAATATTTACTAATCTTACTCTTTTGATTTCTTCTTGGTATGAAAAATGGCTTGTCTTCACTAATTTTTACATTAAAATGTGCATTCATGATCCAATTTTTAATGAATGGAGACATGCATAAACAAAAATATAAATCTATGTAAAGACATTGATGGTAAGGATTAAGGCTTTGTTTGGGATAACTTTTATACTGCTTTTTAAAATAATTTTCTAGTACAAAAAATTCAAACTCAAAAAATTTTTTACTACAAATGAAGGGGATAAAGAGCAAGCCTAAAACAACATGAACTAAATTGGTTAGAAATTATTTGTAAGAGAACAAATTTAACACCTCAGTAATAACAAATTGATACTTAACTGAGAATTTGTTAATAAAAACCCTTGCAGTGCATTTAGGATAGATTTCTTACTATTTTTTAAAATTTTTAGTTCAAAAATTTCTCAACTAAAAATTTTTATATTAAAAAACTACCTTATAAAACAATAAAAAATTTATCCCAATCCTTGTTTGGAATAATTTTTTTATAGAATCAATTTTTAACACAAAAATTTCATGAAAATAGGAAAAAAATACAAAAAACTATCACAAAAAAACCTTTTATAATATAACTAAAAAATTTTATATTAAAAAATTACTTTATAAAACAATAAAAAATTTATCCCAATCCTTGTTTGGAATAATTTTTTTATAGAATCAATTTTTAACACAAAAATTTCATGAAAATAGGAAAAAAATACAAAAAACTATCACAAAAAAACCTTTTATAATATAAAAAGGCTTAAAATGATGATGGTGGTGATAATAATTCAGCCGCCCCTAAGGCTTTTTTGTGACGATTTTTTTATTACTGCTTAAAATAAAATTTTAGAAAAAAAAATTAATTTTTTAACTAAAACTTCATTTTAAAAAACTATAAAAAAACCGTCCCAAACAAAGCCTAAGCTGAGATTGGAACAGGATTTTAGTTCATGGGAGTGAAACTTGAGCACTTTCCATCATTTTAGACATCTACACATTATGAAATGGTGAAATGATGCAACAAGAACATTTACTTCAAATTTTTTCTTCTAATATTTATGGTTTCAACACATGCAGGTGCACTTGCTGTGTGCATGTGAGATCCATATGAAACACAGTAATTTTCCAACCACTTCATATCATGTTTGTGAAAATATTAGAACTTAGGCTTCATTTAGGAAAACTTTCTTACTGTTTTATAAAATAATTTTTTAGTATAAAAAATATTTGAATTTGAAATTTTAGTACTGTAAAACTGCTTTAGAAAGCAGCAAGAAAGTTGTTCCAAACAAAACCTTGGAAAATATTTGCATATTGTGACTGAAGCAAGAATAAATAAAACTATGGATATGAAGTAAAAAAATAATAATAGTAGCTCATAATTTGCTGTGAAAGAAAAGCTGAAACATCAAATACCAAACCATTGGTTGCAAAGCTTAAAATTCACAGAGGCAAATCTAAACAAAACCTTTGACAAAAACAAATAGAAACCCTAAAATAGGGGACTTTGTGACAAAGAATCTTCGACTCTACTGTTCTATGGCATGGTTGACTTCTTATGAACTGGCCTAAACACAATGGGCTAAACAAACAAACAAACAAAATTGATAATAAAATTAAGCAGAAAAGTTTATGATTTTATAATAAATGGTATGTTGTGTACAGGGGCCAGCCCCTACCAATGGATACCCTCCTTCTGATTTACATTCTAGCATTCTGCCTTGTCTTGATCATTCGTTTCAGAGCTGCAAGCCAGAAATTGCATTCATCCCAGTCGCTTGTAGTTAATAGAACCTGTGAGATTAGAAAGAAGTTTTGGGGTCAAGAATAAGGCACCCTAATCAACTATGTTATTAGAATACTACAACAACAACAACAACATCAAGTCTTTGTCCCACTATGCGGAGTCGGCTACATGAATCTTTTTTTCGCTATTGTGTCCTGTTAAAAGTCAAATTCTCATTTAAATCTAATAAAGAAAGATCAAGTCTTTTTAGGTCTACCTCTACCTTTCTTAACATAAGTCAAATCTAATACCTCTACTTTCCTAACCGGCTCATCAGAGAGCCTCCGTTTAATGTGACCAAACCATCTAAGGCGACTCTCTCTAATCTTATCTTCCATTGGAGCTACTCCAGCCTTTCACGTCAACTATTTTATTAGAATGAATAGATTTATTTTGACATGAGTAAGATACATAAAAGATAAATCATAATTTATACTACACTCGTTTAAAAGAAAATCCAAAGGTTTGAGGCCCATCCTTAGCAAAAATTTGATCACCATATTCTGAGCCAATATTTTTTCCGTAGAAAAGCTCGGTCATCAGTTTCTCATTTGGTTGTTTAACAGGTTTTATCAGTATGAAATTGTAAATATAAGAGTGACGAGAGATTATTCTGTGCGGACATCAGAACACAGCTTACCGTCCAGAGGCAAATCAGGTGCAGCCATGTCATCTAGTACCGAGCTGCGGTACCGATAAGGGGGTGACGTGACGTATTTTCATTGAACTCTGGACGGCGTTCGGCGTCCGCACAGAATAATTCATCAAGAGTGACAGATCACAATTGATGAACTGATAAGATTTAAATTAATTTTAAGTGTAAGTTGATTCCCAACAAAGATTGCGGTTAGTCAATTCTGAAAAAAAGAAAATTGTGACTACATTCTACATTCTAGGAATCATCAGTACATATCAAACAATGAAAAGTTCTGCAGTGAACAGAAAACTGTACAAGTCAAAATTTTGAGACGAGGAGATTTCAATTCTCGATATCATAGCAATAGAGCCTACAAAGAAGTTTGGAAAAATCATCGTATTTACCATGTTGAAGAAGTGATACATTTTTTTGCCCAAAAAATATGTCAAATGACTTACCAGAAAATGAATATATATATATTATCATTTTCATTTCTATTATGCTCAACTTAAGTAACAACTAGTTTCTATTGTTAATGATCGATCCATATAACATTGCCAGCCTGATTGTAATTTAATAAGAATTATCTAAAAGTCTCCCAGATATTATCTACAACATAAAGCCAAGTACTTCTGTATTTTATACTCCTCTATATCTCTATTCTTTTGTATAAAAATTCAAAATACTTGAACATCTCATACCTGTGTCATCTTAGCTTCTAATAAAGTTGACTGATAATTATTAACATACACATAAAATTATATATTATATACTCAATCTTTATTCTATTAAATCAAAGTCATCTAACTTATAAACCATAATTCTATCTTTTTACTTATTTTAATAAGTTTCTCACAAATTAGAAAGATATCATATGACAAATGCATATATTGAGGCACCAATTTTGAATATTCATATCCTCTAAAGAAAAATTATTATAATTCTTATCCACTAAAGAAAATATGGACTAAATTCTTATCCAACAACAACAACGTCAAGCCTTTGTCCCACTATGTGGGGTCGGCTACATTAATCTTTTTTCTCCATTGTGTCATGTTAAAAGTCAAATTCTCGTTTAAATATAATAAAGAAATATCATTTCTAATATTTTCTAACCAAGTCTTTTTAGGTCTACCTCTACCTTTCTTAACATAAGTCAAATCTAATACCTCTATTTTCCTAACCGGGTCATCGGAAGGCCGTCGTTTTATGTGACCAAACAATCCAAGACGATTCTCTCTAATTTTATCTTCCACTGGCGCTACTCCAACCTTTTCACGTATATGCTCATTTCATATCCTATCTCTAAGGATAAAGCCACTCATCCACCTGAGTATCCTCATCTCTACAACACTTAGTATTATGCTTCTCTTTTAATGGCCAACAACTAAATTCTTATCCCCTAAAGAAAAATTATTATAATTGAAAACTCTTTGGCTACTTTATAATTGTTTCTAACACAATGTAATGCTCAATCATACATATTTTTAATACATCTTCATATCTTTACCAAACATTTCTACGTTTTATGCACATGAAAATTATTTTTTAAATACTCAATCATTCACATTATAAAGATCAACAAAAAACTTATGATAATTCTTTATTTGCCCCTTATATGTTTTCCTTAATTAACTTAATAACAAAAATCACTTTCATAGCAGATTTTTCTAATAAGAAGCCAAATGGATTGGTTCTCCACAACTTGTGTGATTTTTTACAGCGCGTGTTTCATTATTTTCTCCCATAACTTCAATACATGATTCACAAATTCAATTTCTTTATAATTAGCACAATCTTGAGCAACTCCTTTGTTTTTAAATATTTGTACCAAAATACTTCATCTAAAACTATTTGTAATCCTTTTAGTTTTCAAATTTCTATTAAAAAAATTTATTAACCAAATTACTTCCAAATCCCTCATAACTTTCTAAATCTCAATAACTCTCATATAATCCTAAAAACTATATTTATGCATTTCTTTCAAAAAATAAATTTTACTTCACTTTTTATTAATTTATAATATATTTCATTATATTATTTTTTTTGTTCTGTAAGTGGGCAAAATCATCAGTCCTATTCAGTAAAGAACTAAGTGTTTAATCAAGAAATTAAAGATCAGAAAGGCTAATAGAAAAAGTTCCATAACAAATACTAAGGTCAAGGCTAATAAAATGCAAGCTGAACAGTATTTAGATGTTCAAGTATCAGCGCAGGGTGCACTTTCACGTTCATGGTTAATTCAACAGCTAAAACAATCAAAGGAGTCATGGTTAACTGAACAAGAATAATTTTATTTACAAAGAATTTTGCAATCGTGATTCAAAATTAACCATCTGTACCTGGATATGCAAAGCACTAGCGAAGTCCCCAGCGTCCAAGGCCTGACAAAGTTGACGAAGCTTGGATGAGGCATTTGGAGATATATCCCCGCTGTTAAGTTTTGCAAAAAGAACCCCAATTTTCCTTGAATTGTCCTCAATTTCCCTTTTTCTAGCTGGATTTGCACGCTGACCACCTAGCGCTTCTGACGTCTCATTGTATAGTCTAGTCAAGGTCCCAATGACTGGCCTTAGCTCGGCTGTTCAAGTACAGAACAACAGAAAACAGAGAGTAGACTTTGTCATATAATGCATAAAAAACTTCATGCAATCACTTCCTTAAAAACATATACCCGGAAGTTATCTCAAAAAGGAAACGATTAACATATGCAAAATAGATGTCCAACAAAGATAGAAAAACGAATAGGCTGAAAAAAATTATGGCCCAAATTGTTATTTGCTTGAATTTATAGATAACTACTAAGTTTCCCATACTAACTACAATAATTCACTTCTAAGTTTCAAGCTGAACACTGCCACAAATCATGTGACAGATGGCACTAATCCAAAAGCCATGCGCCGATCAAGAGAAATCATGGTCATGAACATAGTTATAAAGAAAATATATTATAAAATTTACATAATACATTCTCATTCCAACTGATCTTGAATGACAACAAAACTTCGCATCCAATGACAGAGAGGCTTGGAGGAATATTTCTCAAATTGTGTGTCGCACATCATGGATCCTGCTAGCAGATGTCATTGTCCCTCCAAATAGTGACATGTTTCACAGTCATAATATTAAAAAAAACAACATCAAACATTTATCCCACTACGTGGTGTCGGCTACATGAATCATTTTTCTCCATTGTGTTCTACTAAGAGTCAAATTCTCATTTAAATCTAATAAACAAATGTCAATTTTGATACTTTCTTAAAAAAATATTTTTAGATCTATCTCTATTTTTCTTACCATAGGTCATATCTAATAAATCTAAACTCCTAATTCGTTCATCAAAGGGCCAACATTTATGACAACAACAACAACATCAAACATTTGTCCCACTACAAGGAACAATTATTACGTCCTCCGACCGGACGTTCGACGGACGTAGAGGAACGTCCGGTCGGAGGCCAAATCGCGCCAAAAAATGAGAAATACCGAGCAAATACCGAGCAATACCAAACAATAACGAGGAATACCATCACGTGAAGACCCAATACCAAGCTATACCGAGCAATACCGAGTTATACAAAAGTTGTACCGAGTTTTTCCTAGAAAAAACTCGGTACAACTCGGTATTGCTCGGTATTGCTCGGTATAACTCGGTATTGATCTATTCCTCGTTATTATCAAATAATACCTAATAATACCGAGTTTTTTTGCGGGATTTTGCCTCCAACCGGACGTTCCTCTACGTCCATGGGGTCGGCTAAATGAGTCCTTTTATGCCATTGTGTCCTGTTAAAAATCAAATTCTCATTTAAATCTAATAAAGAAATATCATTTCTAATATTTTCTAACCAAGTCTTTTTAGATCTATCTCTATCTTTCTTAACATAAGTCAAATCTAATACCTCAACTTTCCTAACGGGTCATTGAAAGGCCTCCGTTTAATGTGACCAAACCATCTAAGGCGACTCTCTCTAATCTTATCCTTCCACTGGAACTACTCCAACATTTATGAAATTAAGTTAAAATTATATTCCAAAATAGTCCCCCCACCACTACGCATGTGATCAATTTAATTCTTAAGTATCACATTCCTACAATTTAATAGCTAGATTATACAAAATTATTCCTAATTTAATGCCTCGATTATATAAATTTGATCTCAATTTAATTCCTAAAGGACCATTTGGGATTAGTTTTATATAATCAAGGGGCTATTTAGAGAAATGTGATACAATTGGACTAAACTGGCTACATACGAATAGGAGTGAACCATTTTGGGATTTAACTCCTAGACTATGGAAGGCTGTATTTTGTGTTTGATAACACAATTTTCAATCTTAGTAAGAACAAGAAGTAAGTTTTGGGAGGGGGTTGGTCATGGTTGTTGGAGGAATTCATCAAATAGTGTGCCCCACATCATGGATCCTGCTTGTAGATGCTATTGTCCCCCTCCAAATAGTGATATGTTTCACAATATAATATTACGTTTAGATTAAATTCCAAAATAGTATCCGTCATTGTGAGAGGAATATTCCTCATATGGTGAGCCCCACATCATGGATCATGCTAGCAGAAGCCATTGTCTCTCCAAACAGTGACATATTTCACAGTTATAATATTAAGTTAAAATTAAATTCCAAAACAGTCCCCCAAGGCTATGCATGTGGTTAATTTAATTCTGAAGTGTCATATTTCTATAATTTAACCCCTAGAGTATACAAAATTAATCTAATACCTCAATTATATAAAATTGATCTCAATTTAATTCCTAAAGGATCAATTGGAATTAATTTTGTATAATCAAGAGACTAAATTGAAGAAATATGATACGATTTGACTAAACTAACTACATACGAATATGAGTGGATCATTTTCGGATTTAACTGCTAGACTATGAAAGGCTGTATTTTGTGCTTGCTAACACAACTGTCAACCATAGAGCAAGAGTAAAGTTTTGTTTCTTAAGATCACAAATATAACTTCAGCCTGGTGAAATCCAGTATGTAAAAAATGCAAGTGAATGCACCAGTGGTTACCAGGGACATTCGTAGTATCAACAGTTTGCACTGTAGGAGGAGGGGCTGGAGGAGCCACAACTGATTGTTGCACTTGCTGCGTTGGACTAGAGGGTTGAATGGGACTTAGACCAGTATTCTGGCCAAAATTAGAACTAGTAACTGGCATGAATGCCCTAGGTGCTGGAGATGTTCCAGGCTGAGGAAACCTATGGCCAGCAACGGATCCTGGCTGCAGTGAACCAATAGCAGGAACTGGTACAGATGGTCCAGGTTGATAATTCTGATTAGGAACTCCCTAAAAATGATCATGAAAAGAAATCAAATTACTGCACTAATAAATAACAATATCTACGCTGCTTACTATAGTAACTATACAAACCAGATACAATTGAGAGCCCAGAGTAGGTGGCTGCTGGTATTGTTCAGCATTCCTAAGGGCAGGTGGGTTTGCAGGAACAAATGGCTTCGAAGCAGGCTGAGCAGGTGCAGGAGATTGTCCAAAACTTTGCTGAAAGGAATTTAAAAAAAAAAATTGACAAGCTAAGATTAGCATGTTAGTTTACAAATAAAAAAAATCAAGCAACAAAGAAATTACAAATTAGAAGTTCGTCAATTTCATTCATTACTTGGAAACAAAAATGATTACAAGTTTACAACAACAATAATATCAAGTCTTTACTCCACGAGTCGACTATATGAATCATTCTTCTTCATTGCGACCTATTAAGAGTCAAATTCTAATTTAAATCTAATAAGAAATGTCATTTTTAATACTTTCTAAATTTTTCAGGTCTAATTCTAACTTTCTAAATGCACCAGTACCAGGTATACATTTTGTACAATATTGGAGCGGAACATTTCAAAAAATAGAAACTAAAAAGAAGATAAGGAATATCTTAATTAAAACAAAATCAAGATCACTAGTAAGGAAGTTTATTTTTTGATAGGCTGATGCACAATTAGAAGATGTCATAGCCAATAGGCCCAATACAATAACAAACATTTATCCCAAGATTTTAAAAATTGGACCGGACCATCTATCCAATCGGTTGAGCCAGGAACCGGCTGGCCGGCCAAATTGGGCGTTTAACATAGCTGAATTTGCTTAAAATGAGAAGAGATCAGTTTGAACCGGCAATTGAATTGCTCGACCGGCAAACCAACTATGATGTTAAAAAATCAGTAAAATATTTTTTTTTAAGTCGTTCGTTTCAAATTCGATAGTCTCAACTCCTAAATCTAACATATTAACCTAATCCCTATTTCTTATTCCCTATTCCTCATCCCGAGCCCAACCCCTATTCTCGACTATTAGAGGTGGCAAAATATGACATGACCCAAAAATCTAACCCAGACCCAACCAGAAAATTCCTGGTTCAAATAGATCTATTTAGCATATGGGTCAGGTTCATGTTCAAGTATCTGACCTGTTTATAATTTCGGATTTGGTTCAGGCCAACCCGCTAACCCAAAAATGAGCTATAATCATTCGATTAATAAGATTAGGGTTTGGGTCAGGAGTACTGGAGCGTGTCTTATTTTGTGCTTGCCTGTTTCACTTCATGCCTCTGTTCCCATCTCCATTCTTCGAGTTGCAGGCTTGTTGCCTCAAACCCTCAACAACTTAAGCCCCAAGCTCGGAGGCGCAGGAGGTTAGACGACGATGACTACATGTCTCATTTTCTCCTCTCCTAGTTTGATAGTCCCCTTTAGGCTTCAGCCTTCGACAATATATATCGACTGGTAAATTTTTCCATTTTTCAGATGATGGGCTAATAGCTTGCTAAATTGAGTTTCCATATAAATTTTTGAGATGTTTTGAATTTCCTAAAGCTCGTGACATGATTCAGCAAGTGTTATGGTTTCTGACATGTGATTTTTGAAGGGGAAATCCTTGCTTTTGGGATGCTTGTGTCATTTAAGGTTAAGCAAGCTTAATGATATATTTATGCATTTTGTGGGATGGCGGAGGTAATTTTATGCATGTGAAATCGAAATCCTAGATTGTGTGATTCCCAAACCCAAGGAGATGTAAAAACTTAGCGAATGAAACTCAATGAGGCTTCTTTATTGTGGCCATTCTCTTCCATTTGTTTGCTTTTTTTCTTTTGTTTTGCTTTAAACAGCAAGATTACTTAATTGATAGTCGGAATTTGACGAGGCAGGTCTTTTTACTGCGCAATGTAAATGAGGATATTTGGTATTTGTCATTTCTGATTACTCTTTCATACTTTGTGCAATGTAAATGTTGATATAATTTCCATTTTGACTAATGATCTGCTTCACTGCTTTATTCTCCAAATCGCTTTCATGCTTCTATTAACTTTGTTTTGTTGTCATTCAGAAATTTGTGTTATGATTTGTGGATTGTGATAGTTCAAATTCTTAAAAAAAATAGTTATAATAACTTAAAAGTTGTTTCCTTCTAAATATTTTTTTATTATAATATTTATAACAATTTTAAAGAAGTTATTTTCCAACTAATAGTGTTAAAAAGCTAATCTATTAGTTAACTTTGTGTTTTTTATTTTAGTTGGTAAGTGAATAAACTTGTTAAAATGTTATATGCACTACATGCTGTGATATGAGCGGTCTGATTTTATTTGTTGATTAGGTTGATAACAAGTTCATATAAGCATCAACACTGACTGGATCCATGCTAGACTATATATTTGGCTATACTAAATGCTTATTCGACTGAAATTAAGTACCATGCAATCCAGAATCATTCGTGGAATAGTTCATTTCTTTCTGCTGAAAATAGCCTCTTTTGATTGGAGATATTTAACTTCTTTGCTTGATCCATTGCGAGTTTGAAGGGCAATTCATGAACAAATGGTGAATAAGCAAGCTATCCTTAGCATAAATGATGATCAAAATGGTCCATTCCTAGCTTGTTAATGCTGTTGTATTTATCTGTGATTGCTTGAACAATTATCGATTTTGAAAGTTTAACATGCTTTAAGACAAGGCAATCTAGTCGTAACTTCATGTTTACCAAGCTCTCGCAATTTTGAATGAAAATTTATTTAGTTATTTTTTATTAGTTTGAAGAACAAGTTTGATGGTGAGAAAATGTAGTATATTTTGCATCTAGAATTGAGATTTTCCACTATACTATACAACAGATTCCAATACTTCATGTAAGAAATACATTTGCATTTTGCTCTTTAATTGTGTTTAATTTTATTTGTTAGATGGAAGATTCCAATATTGTCACTGAATATAATTTCATATCCACTTATAATATCTAAAATACCCTTCATATTTAACTTTGGAGTTAACTTTAACTCTTATTTTAGCTCTGGGACATAATTAGCTCAACTTCTAATAGCCGCGAGGCTAAAATGGGGCAATGTGAAACTCTAGGACTAAATTGGACATTTATTGATAGTCGAGGAACTATTTTGAACTTTTACTCAATTTTAAACCTGGATAAAAAATAGCCAAAGCTGATCAGACAATTAATTAGCTTTGCTTTAGATGATTATTTAAAAGTTGGTCAAACGTATGTTGCTCGGTCAAGGGCATTCAACAATACTGATTGAATGAAGCTTAACAGCTTCTATGCCAAGTTACCTAACCTAATTATCCTCAATGTTTATAATCGCTAGGTCAATAGAGAAGCTACTGTTATACTAATGAAAACTATGAATTTGGCAGGATTCATTTAAGAAGTTCGACGAACATTATGATATAATCATATATAAGCACCAGCAGGGAAGATTCCTTACCTGTGGAACCTGGTGAGTCTGTGATGGGATGAACATCTGAGGTGACTGAGTCGGCTGGAATTGAACTGGATTAGTGTATCCTAGGTATTGCTGCCCTGATTGTGCAATTTGTGCAGGTTGGTAACCTCCGTATGAGCCCAAATTCTGCTGATACCCATCAGCATATTGAACGCTAGATGTAGGCTGCTGCTGCTGTTGGAGTTGTGCGTTATCCTACCATGAGACACGGGGATTGGCATAAATACATCAAGAGTAAAGCCCCAATTAACAGTCAATTTTCAATTTCAAAATGCAGACCTGGTAGTAATGTTGTGAGCCATTAACAGTGTCAGCAATAGATCCAACGTTATTATAGATGGCATCATTTTGATGCAGGTTTTCTTCAAAAGGTAAGCTCTTAGCCACTCCCTTCTCTGCAAAGGAATTAAAAATGATGAGGACTACTATTAATTGTCACGGCTATATTAGGAACAACAATGAACATAATAGGACAGATCCATATGGTGTTTTACAAGAGAAAAACATAATACAAGTATAAGTGGATAGCACAAAGATAGGACTATAGAAATTGATAATGATATCCAAAAATTAATATAAATTCAAGTAATTTGGACATCCTACATCAAGCAATGTAATACCCAAATTGTCCTAAGGTAGAATGTTAATACATAAATAAATAAATAAAAATAAAAATACAAAAAAATGCATTGTTCAATTGTACTCTAAAATAGCAACTTTAAGGAAAATCATCAAAAGTATGCCATTGTGTTTTACAAGTAAAATGGATCAATTTGATATAAAGAAGTATATGTTAATTTGCAAGAATATGAAAGTAATGAAATTAGTTTTGAATTGAATTATTTTCCTAAACTTTTTAATTAAGAGTACAATTATTTTATTCAATTCATTGTGGCAGGGTTAAAACAGGCCACGCCACTTATCACGGCATGCATTGGTTGATTGGCCGGGCAATTGAGAAAAATTTGAAATTTATGCCATTTAATCCCTAATTCTTTCCAATTGAAACTAATTCATTCCCTATTAGCTCTTGGGTTGGAGTGTTCTAGCATGTAGGACTTCGGGTATGTCCTAGGGTGACCATCGTAGGTGCTGGCGGATTGGTGTAGGAATCGGAATTGGATAGAGAAAAATTGAAAAAGAAGGGAAGAAGAGAGGAAAGAAGGGGAAGGGGGTAAACTAAGAGGGTGGGAGAGGAATGAGAGAAAAAGATGAGGGGAATTTGGCATTTTGTTTATATATTTGTTTTGTGCAAAGTTTCTCATTTAAATATATTCAATTTTTATTTAGGAATTCCTTAGCAGAAAAGGAAGGAAATTTTAAGGATTCAAACTATATATGAAGAGAGGAAATTGTAATCAATGTTATCTTGGAAATAACTTACTATCTTTATTTGTGTGAGGAAAAATTTGTATGAATTGTCAAATTACGGAATTTGGGTTGGTGTTGGTGATATTACTCGTAAAAGGTTGCGAGGTGTTCGAAACGTGGAGGCAACTCATTGACAAGATAAGATATGCAGCTTTTCTAATTCAAAAAGTAAGTAACTTAGTCTCTTACATGTACAATTACACTTGAACCAATTAAATGTATTATTCATTAGCAATTCTATATATTCTTTAATATAATCTAGTATTGATATGTAGGTTTTGAAAATTTACAAGTTCTATTAAATGATACATTTTTAAATGAAAAACATGTGATTTGTACAGTCTTCCTTTCATACATTAAAAAATATTATTTGTTTAGTATAAATTTATATAAGATAGATGTAACAATAAAGTAAATACAGTGATCAGAATCTGCTAAGCCTGAGAATGTCATGTTAGATGATGAGCGGGCATTGCTATATATTATGATATGTTTATGATACATGCGCGGGTGGGGTAATGCGACGTTAATATAGTTCAATTGCGGATTTCACTTAGGCTTTATTGAACAATATGAAGAAGCCGAAGGGCTATGTTTATGTCATGATGATGGTCTAGATCTAGGTATCTAGACATGACACATTCTTATGCTAGAGATAACATGGATTCTAAAAGGAAAAAATGAGCAAGCAAATGAAACAATGTGATAAATCCAAAATTAAATGTTTAAATTAACTGGAATGATATCATGTTATTTATATCATCGTGATAGACATTCTGTTATATAGATTTCTATGAGCATATGTTTGTTACGTAGTTTTATAAATAGCTTAAGAAAAAAAGGGGTTGATGTTTTAAATATAAAATAGGCATGGTTCATAATTATGCACAATCATCACTCATATGTGTTAGTTATTGTTTTATACATCTGAATCTTGTATTAGAGCTGCATATCTTCTCAAGCCACATAGCTCATCATACTTTTATGTTAGCTACTTTAACAGATAAGGACAAAGACAAAATTTAGGTTAAGTAAAATCAGGTTCATTTTATGTTTTACGTTTTAGTATGTACAATGTAAAAGAAGTGTTTTTTTGAGATAGTAGAGTGATTATCATATTTATGTTTTTGGAATTTGTTAGATGCTCTATAGATATATGTTAAATCTCAACCGTACCTTGGCACTTAATCACATGGCTAAGATGAGGATCCGTGGGAGGCTTACCTGAATCACGTTGATCTCCTTCCATATTTAGGTGGCTAGTTTATGAAGGATTATATTAGGGAAATTATACATGATTCTGTAATTATTTGTTTATTTATTAAAATATATTGTATAGATCTATAAATAGAGATACGTTTATACAATAAAATTAAGTCTTCTCTAATTCTCTGAATTTAACATGGTAACAAAACCATAATCCCTTTGGTTTGTTTTTCTTTCCTACATACGTCTGACCTAGAGAACCAAGAGAATGGAGAGTGCTTCATCCCATGGCCTCTGTGTTCGATCAAGAGAGAAGAACAACTCATGCGTATCGCTTGAAGGAGCCGAACGAAAGAGACGAATATCTCCTGAGTGTCGTCTAGAGGAATCAATCAAGAGGGACGAATGTCTCGTGCGTATTGGATCGTCTGTAGGAGACGATCGAGAGAGAGACGAACATCTTGTGCATGTCTTCTGGAGGAGTAAAGCAAGAACCACTCTCGCAAGTGTGAGACCAAACACTACGAAGCGTGCGGCTAAAAGATCGGGCCTGCCATGAAAACCTGTTCATGCGTCTGAACCAAGCAAAATAGGAGCATCGCCAATCCACTTGTGTGTGTGACCCAGAGTGGGGAGGATTGGGCCTACCGTGGAAACCTATTCGTGCAACTAAACCAAACCAAACAGAAGCTGTTATAGTTCCTTATTTACTTAACAAGCATCAGTCATCATTGTCATTTCCAGAATTCGAAAGGTACAGTTCCAAGCAGACTTTATTGTTCTTACATATAGCCTTCATTGTTCTCCTTTGACATCGTAATGTTTGAAGTTAATTTCTCCCAGAGCATTGACCAAATTGAGGATTATATGGTGCATCAAGGAAGAGGAGATATCTAAAATTTTATGTAACATTCCTATCGCTTAAATGGGAAGAACTATTTAAAGTGGTCCGAATTTGTGAAAGTAAAGGAAAGATGAATCAACTCCTTGGAGTATGACTAAACTCCTAATTTTTGGGCATGAGATAAAGCGGACTCCATGATTATGTCATGATTGTGGAATTCTATGACTCTAAAAATTAGCTCCTATCTAAAGGACTTATGGATGACCCGGTTAGGAAAGTAGAGGTATTAGATTTGACTTATGTTAAGAAAGGTAGAGGCATACCTAAAAAGACTTGGTTAGAAAATAGTAAAAATGATATTTCTTTATTAGATTTAAACGAGAATTTGACTTTTAATAAGACACCATGGAGAAAAATGATTCATGTAGCCGACCCCATGTAGTGGGATAAAGGCTTGATGTTGTTGTTGTTGTTGTTGCTGCATTAATGGCATGTTAAAATCAAATTAACTTTATCTGACAAGTGCTTATTGCTTGATTAGAGTTAATTTAGCGATTTTTTTAACTAATGTTTTATCCATGTTAAAGTTAATTCATGGAATTAATTAAACTTAAGTTCACTACGATGCATATTTTTTATAAAGAAAAGTTGATGAATGGTTGAATTAATTTTATTTATTCAATACAATTATCAATTAAATATTTTTCATTTAAAATAATTATTCATTAATTCAAAAATAGATTAAATTGAAATAAAATGTCACCAAAATGACCTCTATTAGATTAATTTATTTAATTTAAAAATTAATTGAATAAACTAAAGATTATTTAAGTCTATGTGAAAAATAATCAGCCCAAATGAAGATCATTTTTTGGTTAGAATATAGATATTTAGTAATAAATATGTGATAATTTTGGAATTGTTCATGCCTATAGTAAGTTGGTCTAAAGAAAGGCTTATTATTGGTAGAATTTATTATCAATATTTTGGTATGCCACTAGGAAAACCTTCTCAAAGATTGGGATACAGCCTATGATGCACAGACACGGACACGGCGACACGGACACGACACGACACGGACACGGGACACGTTTTTTTTTAAAATATAGGACACGGGTACGGTTCAGACACGACAATACATTTTTTATATAGTGTATATATATTAATATAATATCATATTAAAATTGCAAACAATAATAAATGAATGACATGATAACTTGTCTAGCTTATAATATAAAATATTTAGTATAAAATATCTAGTACAACCACAAAAATGTAAGCAAATAATCACTTACTACAACATCAAGCATTCAAGCTTCAACTATTAGGATTAGCTTTAGAGGTTTGTTTTTGGCTTTCAGTATCATCATCATTGAATATCACTGCTTTCAACTCTGGTTCAAAAAGAGAAAGATTTGTAATTGTGCAAAAAAGAGGAGATTAAAATACCTTCATTGCCAAAGAGAAATGAAAATGAGAATATTCGATGAATGAGTATTAAATGCAGACGTTGATTTCGTGTTGTGGATAGAAAATAAGAAATTTAGTTTAAATCTCATCAAATATAAGAAATTATATTTTAAAAAAATTATAAAATATTTAAGATACGTGTGTCGGACACGCGTGTCCAGATTGTTTTTAATATTTTTTAATCGGACACGATTTCGGCGTGTCCGACACATGTCGGAGTGTCGGACGAGTGTCGTGTCGAACACGGTGTCGGACACTGCACGCCTCTTTGAGCAGAAGTGTCGGTGCATCATAGGATACAGCCTAAATCTTTGAAATTAAGGTCAAGATGGGAAGCACAAAATAAGGAAGCAAGATTGTAACAAAATATGTCACTCTCCTTCAAAGCTTGCGACAAGAACTTGATCACTACATATATATAGAGACCAAGTGTCCAGAAGATATTATTATGAAAACTTTATTGAGAAATATAGAGTTTATGACTTTCATGTAGGATAAATGCCGAGTTTGATGAGGTTAGAATTCAAATATTTGGCAAAGTGGAGACACGTTCATTAAATGAGACCATTTCTCTCATTCATGCTGAGGAAAGCCTAAGAGGGGTAACGCTGGAGCCAAAGGTTGTTGAAAGTTCAGCAATGGTGACAACCAAAGAGGTGTCATGGAAGAAAAAAGTAAGGATTCCTCAAAATCTAAAGACAAAGACTCCCTTTGGTGCAGCTATTGCAAGAAATCAATACACACAAAGAAGACGTGCTAAAAGATACATGGAAATCCCCCAAGAAATGAGTGGAGTCAAAAGAAGTGGACAAAAGAACAAACATCACAAGCCAACACTAAGATAAATCAGCCCACCCCAAAAATGCAGTACAGCTTTAGAGAGCTTAAGAAAGAAGATATTGTTAAGCTAAAATAACTCCTGGTCTCCCTTAAAAAACCACGTACATCTTCTTCTCTTACACTTTCAGGTAAGTTTCCTATATTCATTGGATTAAATGCCTCTAGAAATCATTTGAAAGGTTTATGAATCATTGACCCTGGAGCCAAAGATCACATGACACACTCCACTATCCACTTCATCAACTACACTCCTTGCCCAAGTGATAAGAAAATCATCATTGTTAATAGTTCTCTTATCACAATAGCAGACCAATGTGACATACCCTTATCTCCCTCCCTCACTCTCAAAAACGTGCTCCATGTACCTCAATTATCCACAAACCTAATCTCCATACAAAAACTTACTAGTGACCATAAGTGTCATGTCCTATTTAACCCCACTTGATACTTATTTAAGGACAAGGGATTGGGAAAAAAGATTGGACTAGCTAAGGAGAGAGATGGACTGTACTACCTAGAAGAGCTGAACAAATCCAATATTATCAATAATAGCTATTATATATTATCCCTATTTAATAAAAATTCTACTATTTAAGTTCATCATTTTAGATTAGAACATCCATCTTTTAATGTCTTAAAAAAATGTATCCAAAACTTTTTTATATCTTAGAAAATGAATATTTTCATTGTGAAACCTGAGTTAGCTTAAGTTCTTTTTTTTTCAAACAAAAAAGAGATATGTGATACTCCATTATACCTTATTCATAGTGAAATCTGGAGAAACTCAAAAATTTCTAACATCTCAGGAGCTCGATGGTTTGTATCTTTCATTGATGACTACACTCGAGTCACTTGGATCATTCTCCTAAAAAACAAATTCGATGTTTTCACAGTCCTCCCCATTTTTCACTTCATGATCCATAATCAATTTGGGATAAAAATAAAAAAAATTCATTTCGAGAATACTTAAAATTACTTTAACCAAACCTTATCCTCCTACTTTAAAAAAGGTCTCATTCATGAGTCTTCATGCATTCACACCCTACAACAAAATGGGATTGCATAAGGAAAAAATTATCATCTTCTAGCCTCCACCCGTTCACTTATATTCCACCATAATGTACTCAAATCCTACTAGGGGGAAGCCCTTCTAACTTCCACATATCTCATAAACTGACTACATTCAACAACCTTGGAACTAAAAATATCAATGTATATTCTATCCTCTTTTTACCCTAAATCCTGAACCCATAATAATCTTACACTTGGAATCTTAGGGTGCACTGCCCATGTTTACATGCACAACCAAAATAGAGAAAAATTAGAACTAGATATTCATCTATCCATAGAGGTTAAGTGTTGTCACCTCTTCACCAAAAAAACTCTTGTATATGCTGACATTACTTTTGACAAACAAACCCCCTATTTTACCAAATGTCATCTTCAGGGGGAGACTACAACTAAGGAAGATGAAGAAAGTGAACTTGTCCTTCTTGACCTTCCAGCTCCACCTCAAACCAATCTACATAAACCGAAATCAAAGCCAGAGAAATTGAGGACAAAGCTATTATGGATAACATAAGGTTTGGAAAAATATATTCCAGACATACAAATCCAAATTATGTTCCAGAACAGATCCAAGAATTTGAATTGTCTCTTGTAACTGAGGTAAACATAAATTCGCCAAAAAAAATCATGCTTGTACCCCATAACCAACTTTGTATCCTTCCATAACTTATCACATTCACACACAATTTTTTTGGTTACACTAAATAATATTTATATTCCAAATAATGCTTCTGAAATTTTATCGGATGAAAATTAAAAAATTATCATGAAAGATGATATACAGGTTATGGAGAAGAACAATATATGGGAAATCACTTACCTACCAATAGAAAAAAAAACTAGCTGCAAATGGGTGTTCTCTATGAAATACAAAGTTGATGGTACACTGAAAAGGTATAAGGCAAAATTAGTAGCGAAAGGGTACACTCAAACGTACGCATTGACTATTAGGAAACTTTTGCACCTGTGGCCAATATGAACATCGTGAGGATCCTGCTCTCACTAGCAGCTAATTATAACTGGCATCTGAAATAATTTGATGTCAAAAAATGCATTCCTACATGGGGACTTGGAGGAAGAAATATTTATGGAGATTCCACATGATTCAAAGAAAAATCTAAAGGTGACAAAGTGTGTAAGTTAAAAAGGGCTCTATATGAGCTAAAACAATCACCTAGAGCTTGGTTTGGAAGAACCTCAAAAGCCATTCTACTCATGATTATCGGTAGAGCCAAGGAGACCATATATTATTATTCAAGCACTCAAACTCAGGGGAAGTCACAGTTTTATTAATTTGTGGATGATATCATCTTGACCGGGAATGCTAAAAAGTATAAAGCGATTCTGAGGAAATATTTTGCCAAGGAATTTGAGATCAATGAACTTGATTGGTTAAAATATTCCCTTAGAATTGAAGTGGCCCGCTCTAGCAGAGGAATCATCATTTCATAACAAAAATACATTAATGATCTTCTTAAAAAAAAAAATAAGTAAACTAGCTTATAAATCGGTATCAACACCAATAGAACCAAATCTCAAATTAGGGAAAATTAAAGAGGGCCAAAACATAGATAAGGGAGCTTACCATATACTTTTGGAAAAATTGATCTATCTTTCTCACATGATACCATATAAAGCATTTGTTGTAAGCATGGTCAGCTAATTCATGCAAAATCCAAAACAAATTCACATGCAAACTATAGATAGAATATTGCACTACGTTAAATGAATTCTCTTCAGAAGAGACAATGAAATAACCCCAGAAGCATATACTAATGTAGATTATGCAAAATCACCAGTACATAGATAATCTATCTTAGGATATTACACATTCCTTGGAGGAAACCTGATTACATGAAGGAGCAAGAAAAATAGTATATGGTGGCAAGGTCTAGTGCAGAAGAATAATACAGAGTTATGTCCTTGAGAATATATGAGATACAATGGATCAAGATGATTCTATAAATCCCAAGGATCAAGTGGGAAAGACCCATAAAGTTGCACTGTGACAACAAATCAACAATTAGTATAGTTCACAATCCAATTCAACATGCAATACTAAGTACATAGAAGCGGACAGATATTTCATAAATAAGAAATTAGACAATGGTTTTATATGTATTTATCATGTCTCATGTTTCATAAAAAGATCAGCTTGCAAACATTCTTACCAAGGGACTTGATAAATCTACCTTTCTGGGAATAATTATCAGGCTGAGAATGATAGATATGTATTCCCCAGCTTGAGGATGAGTATTAAATTCTAGCCGTCCCTTGACACTTGATCCCACAGTTAGGATGGGAATCTGTAGGAGGCTAACCTAGATCACGCCGATCTCCTTTCATATATGATTTAGGAATGATTATATTAGGGCAATTATGCATGATTTTGTAATTATTTGTTTCTTTATTAAGATATATAGATCTATAAATAGGGACATGTTTGTGCAATAAAATTAAGCTTTTTCCCTCTCCAATTCTTTGAATTTAACAATATAAATTATAAATAAAATTTTTGGGCAATTTCAACTTCAGTAGATGCAATGATGCCTTTTATGAATGTTTTATGAATATTTTATAAAATATGAAAGTAAGATGAATGGTATGATTTCCTTGGTTGAGTCCTGTGTTGATTAGTTAGAAGGTCTGCATGAGGCATGACAAGAAAAATCAAATTAGGATTATTTACCCTTTTCCTTGATAAACAATTACAAAGACAAAATACCAAAAATTTAATACACGACAGCTTTAAGGGGGTAAAAAAAATAAAATGCTTGTTATAAGAATTTGATCAGCCAATGCATTTTACCTTCCATGCAGAATGTAATACGATTTTGAAGGATAGCAAGCTCATGCGAAGAATCTTCTGAACCCAGGAGTTTTAGATATTCCATAGCTGTTGAAAGAAGCCCTTGATTGGCAAGAAGTTCGGCATAGTTCTCTACCAATTTTGATAAAGATTTATTAAGCCGCTTTTGTCCAGATGCTAGGGCAAGAACAATGGTCTTTTCCATTAAATCCTATAAAAGTATGATTTCAGTCAATGATCTAATCATGTGAAAACAGGGTAAACATGAAATTCCTACGACACATTACCTGAAGAAGATCAACATAACTCCTACCATCTTGCTCATTCAATAGACTGCGTGACCAAATTTCCACTATCTTATCAATATTTCCAGCACAGATATAACATAGAGTAGCAGCAAGTGTATTTCCCACTGTTAATAGTCGAGAACCAAGAGTATCACAGAGGATAGTCCATTCTTCCTTCTGTGCAAACTGTTAAGACAGCATAATAACAAAATTACAAATGGAAGCATGCACTCCATAGCAAGAGAGCCCTTATTGTTAACTAAAAATATATATATTGCATGAATTAAAAAGAAAATACAAGTTTGATAAAAAAATATGCCATCAATTGTTCAGGTAAATTGACCATGAATTTAGCATGTCAGAATCGTTCGGCAGCCCTCAATTGGTGGTTAAAAATTAGGATTCATAATACTGAAACCAACTAGTTGGGATAAAGCTAATGAGATGATGATGATGATGGCAATGAACAATTTTAAACTACCACCCAATACCCTTATGCTATAGCCTGCAACCATCAAGGAATGGATAAATATTCTGTAAAACTTGTAAAACTCACCGTGCATAGAAGCGCAAGAGTTTCTTTCCATGAGTTAAGTGGCCTAGTACTAACAAGTGCCATCAGATCATTAGTCGCCATTGCAGCAACAATCTGAACATGAAAAGAAATGAAGTTCAAACTGCTGAAAGATTTGTAATTCAAAAAAAGATAACAGCCAATCAATGTTAAAAATTGAAACTAATATTTGAAGTAAATACAGAGACCTTCAAATAGGGCGAGAGACTATTTTGAAGATACTTATCCCGTGTAGCCTCCCACAAAGCAGGACCCCCGACATGCGCAATGACCAATGAATCAGCCAATCTGTTTGCTGAGAGGCAAAGCTGAACTGCTTCCTTATAATCTCCCACTACTAGAGCACGTTGAATAGCCTCATCAGTGGCTGGATCAGAATCATCAGAAGTTGCTTCTGTTTCTTTTGGTGCTTGTTCTTCATGAAGCTCATTTTCTTCAATTAACTCCTTATCATCAGAAGATTGTAGATTATTAAAGAAATCGTCCCCATTGTCGATGGGGAATGAAGCAACATCTCCTTCAAAAAGTGATCCTTTCTTCATATTCTCATCAAAATTAAGAGCGTTAGTCAACTCCTTGCCTAGCTCATCAGATGTAACCTGCGATTCAACATTAGGAACTCTGAAACCAAGATGAGTGAGCAACTTTGTCCTAGCTGTCCCATCCTCCTCAAACATAACTTTCAAAAAAGCCCATATTTCCTTTTCATCGTCAGACCTATCCACAAAAATCAAGATACATCCTCAAATTTCAGCGAGAATTGAACAATTCAAATAGAAAATACAATTCCATGAAGCATGTTGCTTTGGAAAGATGACATACAAAGAATCCTGAGATTTTTTCTCACATAAAACCCGCAAAGAATCCCTTTCGCCGCCTTGAATTGCAGCTTCAAATTCAGCTGAGCGGTGCACCAAACTGTCTTCAGTAACCAAATTATGCACATGAACCTGCAGATGAAATAAAGTCAATCCTAGAGACAATGACAGAGAAAAAGTTACTACATTGCCTAACCTCAGAAACACATGATGAAGCACCAGAAGCTGCTTGACCGGGATAAAATGTTACAAGGTTGCCTCCAAAACCAAAAGACACTCCAGCTGGACGTTTCAACCATTTTGGAGCTCTCAAGCGTACTGAGAAAACAAAAACAATTATACTGACATTAAAAATTAGTGCAATATCAACACGATGATAAAAATTGTTGGCATCACAAAAAAAAAAGGACCATCCGAGTACTTGACTTGCAAATTTGGAAAAGGATGCACTAGCAACCCATGTTATGTCGACAAACTTCAGGGTAAGATATGCAAACACACCCGCATAAGTTAATAAATACTGAGTTTCAGGAACAAAGGTACATATTGTTCTAGTATGGTGTCAGCAATGTATTGGAGATCACATTTAAGCTAGCAAGCATGGAATACATTGCATAAGATCTAGCATCTTCTAAAGTGTTTGAGTCAAAATTTTATCATTTTGGGAAACTGCTTAAATAAATGATGAACCCTAGAACACATATTAAAGCCTTTCATTTTGCACCCTCTTCATATTTTAGATTCTGTTAGACCGGTCCAGCCAGTCCAATAGGGACCGGTTCGCACGGACAGTGGTGTGATTTCTCCTCCTCTTGCATGTGCCACTAAGGCCGCAAGCTTTGCGGGAGCCGAATAGGAAAGATTTTTGGGGGAATTAAGAGGGAAATTTGAATGTATCGACTGTTTAGGGATTTCCTTTTGATTTGTATGCATTAAATAGATTGCTTTGCTAGGGTTAGGGATCATGAAATTTGGCTGATTTTGGAATCTCTTAGGTGTAGGTTTTGGGCTCTAGATTCGACTAGAGATTGGGAGAGATCGATCCTCCTCTCGAATAAATGATCACTTGTATCTTGTTGTTTTCTTCCGTTAGTTGATTTCTTGCAATAAAATCTATTGTTTTCCCTTATTTTCATTGGAGTTTGGAAGAGTTTCTCGATGTTTTACAAAGATTGATAGGAAATACTTGAGATCTACAAGTGTTTCCTATCAGATTCATCCCTGCCGAGTTCGTATCACACAGCACATAAAAAATCTGGCATTTAAGCTAAGCTGTATGATCCACTTATCCAAAAAATACATAGGTCAATCAAAGATCCTCAGTTCTATATAGCTGATTTTCATTCAATGAAAATCAAAACTCATTTTAAAAGTTCAACGCCCTTCTCTACCATGATTCCTATAATCTTGAGTAATACTCAAATCTATGATAACCTCAAGTTCCATGCCACATCATTCCTAGATTATTGATTCAATATGAGAATGGATGAGAAGCAAAGAATCAAATATGCTGAACTGCCAAATCAAACTTTTAAACTCAGAAAAAATGAAGTAAAGCTTTATCAAGTTTTCCAAATAGGTATCACCACCATGTCAAGTGCAGCAATAACATACGCGTGTTAAAGTTTGCATTCATAACAAGCTCCCTGGGGAAGAGAAGTATAAGATAATTTAAAAGGAATTAAATATGTTTACCTGGAGCAACAAAGTCACCAGCACTAAGACCCAACTTGTTGCAAGCCTGGAATATATTGGAGAAAAACTAAATTTTAATTAATGACATTTCACAAAAAAAGACCAAAGATAAGAAGAAAAACTACATTTTTAAGCTATAATTGCTCCGAAGTACATATACAATTGCATTTACAGTTGATGAGTCCAAATTACATATACAGAAAGTAACCAAATAGTAAGTAGTCCTACTAAAAAAGGGTAATCTTCATTTATCTCCTCCAAACAACTCTCGGTGCACACTTTACCATCAAACATAATATACGCTCACTTAAGGACACACAATACTAGCACTCCACACATTCATATGAAGTTAAACTTAACTGCATCAAAACATGCAAATACACAGATACAGGGGCATATATTTCAAGAAGCCAATCAACAGGGAAAATTACTGAGAAAAACATGGATAGCTGGAATAAAAGAGGAAAAAGAGGAAATGAGAAAAATAAAAGATTGCACCATATATCATTCAGTTCTATAAGGTCCATCCAGTCCGCCTAAATCCTTTAAGGTAAGGCTGAAGTTATGGAGGAGATACAACTTAAGTGTGCAATGAACACAAGCTAGAAATTATATCCTCTTTGACCATAGCAATATCCCAACCCAAGCACACGTAAGTCAAAACCCCAAAAAAATCCACAGAAATGAAAAAAAAAAGGTAGAAAAGTAAAACAACCCTAATGCCCTCCAACAGAAAACACATGGTAATGGGAACTAGTAGAGAACGATGAGAGGGAGAGCTTCTTGTGTGAAGAAAAGATTGAGAGACAGAATCAAATTGAGGTTGAAGGGAAAGAAAGGGACCAGTAGCATGCTAATGGGAGAGATATGAAGTGGGTAGTGATTATTTTTTGGCAACAGAGAGAGCAATGGGAGTCGAGGATTTTTTTTAAAGGACTGAATGCGATGGAAAGATGACATTGCAGGATTACGAGTGGAATTTCGAGTGTGATTTCAAGGATTTGACATGGTTATATTTTGGTTACATTTTTTTTAATCAAACATAATTAGATAAAAAACAAAAAAAATGTACGAATAGACTCTTCACGCAATTCCTCATTTCTAACGCATCTTGATTTGCATGTCATCACCTCACAAGTGGATAAATTATGTATTGCATTCGTGCGTTTGACGGGACAACATGAATGTTAATACCAAGTATCTTCGACATTTCTGATGCGTCAGCGCAGCCTCATTCATGAGCCAAGCAATGGTTTTGTGGTAACCTCACATTCATCGTTCACAATTTTTGTCACGTTCAATCGAATTGACCTTGGGGGTTCATCCTTGATAATTTCGATGTTGAGGGCGCATTGACATGGCTTGTTTCACAAACTGGGAAATGTTTGAGTAATTTCATTGCAAAGGAGGGTTTCATACGACGTCGCATCCGTTGTCCGTAGTTGTTCGTCTTTGTTGTTGCATTTGATCATGCGCATTGCAGAGTATGCATTAAGGGGCATTGAGGTCAACATCATTGTCTTCCTTTTTCAAGTGGCTCACCCTGTACTTCGCTACTTCCACTCATCATACCCATCCCCTTCTATGTACTACAACAGAAGTATTTGAAGGACTAGTTTGCCAAGCTAATTTTATTGAAGAATAAAAAGGTAGAAGTGTCAAGAGGAGAGTGTCCAATTTATTTGTGCTTGCAACATTTTTAATGCTAATATTACTACAATCCGAGACAGCATTTTTATTTTGAGCACCAATACTTTATCTCGTCGGGTTCAAGTTTTTTAAATGAACAACAAATAACTGCAACCAAGATTTGTGCCCCTTAAAGTCTTAGAGTGCCATCAGAACAACATAATAAACAACTTTTTATCATTTACTGTTGAAATAACTCATATGTTTGGAAGCCGGAACACACGTTCAAGCATGCTAAAAGACCAAAATGTGGGGGAAATATATAAATTGTAGTTACACGAACAAAAAAAGATCACAGTGAATCTTTTGAATTTTTGTTCTTGAGAATATTACTAAAGATTTCCCCACTGGCATAGTTGCAAAACAGTTCACTATATGGTGACCGAAACACTTAAACCGAATTTAGCAATAGAAACATGACTATTTTACATTGATCTTGACCCACTTTGGCATATTTGCAAAACAAGTTCGCTCTGCGGTGATGGAAATGCAACAAGTTCATATGCATGTCGTGTATATTTTATCCAAATGCCGGCAGGAGCAAGCTCACGGGCAATAACTCCATGCCATATAGAATAGCTTGCAGATGATAAAAGTACAGTCCCTAAGATGCTAATACAAGTATTTTTTTCAAAATTCTGAAAACTTTCATGACTAGTTAATAAAAAAATGGAAAACTACCATAATTAGCAATGAAAGTGGATCAGTTGACTTAAAAAAAGGATTACTCATATAACAAATATAACAGGATAATCAGAGAAAATATTTAAACTTAGTCATCTACATACTATGTTGCACCGATACACCTATTTATGAAGACATGTTGTATCCGATACACATATACGCCTCCGATACGACACCAATACGTGTCGGATACGGCTTTGCCGAAAGCCGTATCCAATTAAAATACTATTTAATTTCAAAAGGACACGCATGTTCGTTGAAAAACAAAAAAAATCCGAAAAAAAGACCCGTTGTATTTACTTCCGCGGCTGCAAGCGATGTTCTCTCATTTCCGAGATGAATTTGAGTCTCTTGATGATATGTGAATATTGAAAATTGCTACTCTTTCACTTGATAAGCCTGAATTAGAAGCTATGATATTTATTGAAGATGATATAGAAGTTCAAAGACAACCACTGAAGAAGCTAATCATATCATTCCTTCTTGAATAGTTGAAACTTCTTGTGCTAGACAATTTATGTTTATGCTTTTGTTGTTGTGCTAGACATTTAATGTTTACTTTTATTTTGATATTATAAGCTACAAGGCTACAAATGATGTTACTTTTATTATTTTTTGTAATTTCAAATATTATGCTTTGATTGTTTTCTTAATTTTTATGTATGATTTATAAATTAGAATGTCGTGTCCGCGCCGTAACCGTATTCTATATTTTTAAGAATTGAAGTGTCCCGTATCCATATCGTGTCATATCCGTGTCGCCGTAACTGTATCGGTGCAACATAGTCTACATATTTTTTAGGAAATAAGCAGACTTCAGCCAAACAAGGGTTATAACAATAAAAATACCAGTTCAGGTATAACTCTTCGGAGGCAATAATTGACAAACAACTTAAGAAAAAGAGAAAGAGCATGGTGGATGCACCTCAATATTATATATCCCAAGCTTTACATCAAAAGAAGATGCTGATATGACACCTGGAATCTTAGGGTACCAATGAATGTCAAAATTCCAATTGGTACTAGCTGGCAACTCACATTGCATCTACAAAGTTAGACGAGGCGGATGAAGAACTGATAAATACATAAATGTAAACGAGACTGATGTTAAAGAAGCTATTGAGGCAAAAGCTTCTTAAATGGCATATGAAGTGAAATCTTAAAGATTGTCACATACCTCCCCTGTATTTGTATCCCAGCAAATAGTACGATTGTCTTTGGCACATGTCAATAATAATGAGCTCTCATATGGACACCATGACATAGCAATCACCCCTGCTTGGAGGAAAAAATTATTAAAAAAATTAGTAACCAAAGTTAACTATCTTTCAGACTTAATTAGCCAAAAACTCCTGGTGATCACAGTATGATGACCAAAAAACCAAAACAGTGGGTTTAATTAGGCATCGTTTGGGATGGCTTTTTTGCTGCTTCTTAAAGCAATTTCAAGTACAAAAATTTCAACGTTTGTACTAGAAAGCTGTTTTAAGCAGTAAAAAAGCCGTCCAAAACGAATCCTTAATCATAATGTCAAACAAAGTGCTGTGATAAAAAATACTAAAAATGGAATGTAAGAGATCGCAGGATCAGGCTTTAAAGAAAGTAGAACACAAAAAAAAGTACAAAAGAAATTATGACTCAAAAAACAAGAAACAAGGAAAGTAGAACTCAATAATAGATGGCATTATACAACTCTAAGTCAGATATAAAAGCACATAAAGGTTGTTAAATGTATCAGATCATGTTCAATAGCGCAACTGAATAATTGCTGAAGTTAAGGACAGATGCTTTGCTCACACGAAGACAGATTTCTCTCCATATTTCTGCAACTCATCATTACTCAAAAATGTTTTCAAAACAGATGATTCACTTGCATCTATCTTTGAAACAACTTGATGTCTGTGCTTCTTTCTTGTATATTTTGACGAATATTAGCTAATATTTGCAGTATGCAAAAAAAATACTAATAGAAACGGCCTACTTCAGAAAACAACTAAAAATATTGTTATCAGAACAAAACTTGTAGAAACTGGCAGAAGTAATGTATCAATCATATCCAGAAGGTTCATTATCAACAAAAAGGAGCTGAAAAGAAATTGAAATATAAAAAGAAATAAATAATATGAAAAGAGATAGCCGGTTTCAACTTTAAAAAAAAATGAGCAACAGAATAAAAGAAGAATTCAAGATAATATGGAACAAAACACAAAGAAAATCAGACAGCAAAAAAATAGCAACCAAACTTCTTGGGAGTAAATATATGCCATGCAAGATGGGCCATCCATGAATTGTCAAAGAAAGAAGCAGCTATGCAGATGAAATCATATAATGAACATTTAACACCAGTTGACGGTAAGCAAACAAGAACCAACAAGCAAGTAATAGTAAATAAGTTAACCTTTTGTATGCCCCACAAACTCTCTGACTGGATATATTGTTTTCCTAACATCCCAAACCTGCAGAGATAATCATACAGAAGGAATGCATTGCACGTATTAGCAATGATAAAAGAATATTGCTATGCATAAATATTGCAGGCATTACTCTGAGAGCTGGTGAGCTATCATCATCGGATGCAATAATAAGTTGTGTAGAAACTTCAGGATTCCATTGCAGAACGGAGCACCTTCTTCGAGTGGAATCTGAAAAACTGTAAAAACCCAAACATGGTAATCAGCTGATAAAAGTACCAGTTACGACTTCAATAGAAAATACAGAACAAGCCACAATCACTAACATCAAATGTTGCAGATACTTGCCTTGTCACTGGCTTTTGCTGTCTCAAATCCCAGACAACTGCAATTTAAAAAAATAGAAAGATGAACAGTATCCGACAAAATGAATGCTACAGAATCACCTTAGTCCTAGAAAAGGGTATATAAACATAGAGACTAAGAAAGAACAAAGTTCAAAAACTCACCAGTTATCCCATTGTAGGAAGTTGATGCTAATATAGGTTGAAACTTCACATTCCAAGACACAAAAGATATTTCGGTTTGGGCTCCAGAGCCAATATTCTGGGCAAAACAAAAGATTGAATTAAGAAACCTAGTTAACATGAAAAATTCGAGTTTCCAAACGATAATCGATCAGATTCCATTTAAAAAATAAAGAATTTAGTCAGCAAAAATATAAATTATATATAAAAATGGGTGGCCACCACTAATGGGTTAGTATAATGTGGATATGAAAAATGAAATTTACAAAGCTGATATAATACCTAGCACAAACAAAATACATGCAACCATGATTGCTGAAAATTTAACTCATGGTCAGTAATTAAATCAATTGCGACAAGATAGAGTTAAAGCTATGAAGTTTGATGATTTGTTACGGAAAAGTTGCCACCCTCATGGAAATAGCCAAGCTGCTTTGCAAGTGTTATTTATTATCATGAAATTGTGGGGAAGACGCATGATGGGTTAGGGATTTCCACTGTTACCTGTATAATTTTTTACTTTTGGTATATGACAGTTTATTTTGAAAAGAATGCATATTCAACAAATTCCAAGGTGTAATGATTGCATATATAAGAATAGACTAATCAAATAAAGTATATAACATTCTTAGCTGTGGTTTAGATAGAATTTTATCTTACATATAGGTAAATGATCCTAATCTTTCTGTGGTTTAGATAGCTGGCGGGATCATTAAGACACTGCTTGGCTAAATGTATTTAAATTAAATGATCCTAATCTTTCTTCATCCAAATGTTAGCATTTTGGAAGTCGAATTGTTGCATATGCCAATATATGATTGTGGCTTATTCTGATGAGTGGAATGGGAGGAGGAAATATATATATATATAAGCTTATTTTAAAGGTTTTTCATATATATATAAGAAATAGAGACGATGGAAAGTAGCAAGATATGCAAGCCCCGTGTATATGCAAAAAGAGATGGCTTTCCTCAAAATTATTAATGTCATACATTAGTTTAGAGAAAAAAAAAAATCCAAAAAAAGTAAAAAAAAAATCTAGACATCCACAATAAGAACTTTATTCTTAGCATAAAATGCTATAAACTACTCAAAACTCTCCTATCCATACATAGAAGAAATGACAAATTGCTAACAAACTAGCAAACTTCTAATAAATTGCTAACGAACTGCGAACAAATAAAACCAAATTGATAACAAATTTGAAGACAATGTCAAGACGACGACGACAACAATATCAAACCTTTATCCCACTATGTGAGTCAGCTACATGAATCCTTTTTCTCCATTGTGTCCTGTTAAGAGTCAAATTCTCATCTAAATCTAATAAAGAAATGTCATTTCTAATATTTTCTAACCAAGTCTTTTTAAGTCTACCTCTCCCTTTCTTAACATAGGCCAAATCTAATACATCTACTCTCCTAACAGGATCATCGGAAGGCTGTCATTTTATGTGATCAAGCCATCTAAGGCGCCTCATTCTAATCTTATATGCCACTGGAACTACTCCAACCTTTTCACGTATATGCTCATTTTGTATCATGTCTTTAAGAGTAAAGCCATTCATGCACCTGAGCATCCTCATCTATGTAACACTTAACTTAATATTATGCTTCTTTTTTAATGGCCAACATTATGTGTCATAAAGCATTACAGCTCTCACCACCATCTTATAGAATTTTCCCTAAAGTTTGACTAGTACTTTTTTATCACACAACAAGTCCAATGCATTCCTCCACTTCAACCATCCAACTTGAATTCTACTAATAAAATCCCCATCTATTTCACCATCACTCTAAACAATAGACCCAAAATATCTAAAATGTGTACTCTTATTAATGACTTGATCGCTCAAAGTCACAAACCCCCACTAGATCTATTACTACTAAAATTACACTCCATGTATTCGATTTAGATCTACTCAAATGAAAACCTTTAGACTCTAAGGTTGGCCTCCATAATTCCAGTTTACCTTCAACTACCTCTCTAGTCATATCAACAAGAAGATTATCATCGGCAAAAAGCATACACCATGAAACATCCTCTTGCAAATGTCTAGTAAGAACATCCATGACTAAATCAAAAAGATACGAAAGGCTGGTCCTTGATGTAATCCAACTGAAATAAGAAAATACTTGGTCAAACCACTTTGTGTCTGAACACAAGTAACATCTTCTGCATACATATCCCTGATGACTAGAATAAACTTTAAAATATAATGAAATCTAGAAGATGTAAAATAACTCCAATATCCATCATAAAATAAAATTTTCAGAATTTATGTTCACATCAACATCCACCGCACCAAACCCAATAATGCTTGTTATGAGTGTGGGTGGGTATGGGTAGTAGATCTAAAATAATGATTCATTGTGCATTAGAAAAAACCAAATCCAAACCCAAAGCATCACCTCCTATAAATGTAGCATCCACATTGCCCCTACTTAGTAGAGAGACTGTTTCCATTATTAGAACCTCAGATATAAAAAAAATGAAAGCCAATCTCTCCTCCCAACAGCAAGCAACCAACAAAGGATCAATGCATGGAGAAATTACAGTCAAGAATTCTTTAAGTTTTACAATAAACCCTCCAACTTTAAGAATCAACAAGTCCACACAACAAGAATGATTTCTTAGTAAGATAATCCATAAAGTAGCGTTAAGTCACAAATGCAACATTACCAAAGCAACTTTGTCCGAAGCAAACATTCCCTTTACACTCTACCTTTGTATCCATAGTTACGTGGAAAAAAGTAAAAATGGCTCAAGCATTCTCCAAGCAGCATGCTAAAGATGCCCTCAAGAGTAATAAATAAATTGTTTGCATAACTTAAAATTTCCTAACATACCTTCAAAGATGGAAAAAGCTTTGGTTCTGTTGGATTCTCTAGATCCCAAATACAGAGCTCCCCTTCATCAGCCCCAGAAGCAAGCAGCTTCGGCTCATGAGGATTGAATTCCAACCCACGAACCTGCAATCAAGATCAAAAATTGCCAAAAAAATAAGGTAGATACACGCAACAAATAAAATAAACTCAACATCGCTATCACTCCGAAGCAAACAATGAGTACCGGCCCAGTGTGCTTCTCAAGCCGTGCAACAAAAGCGTCATCACTCCCCTCCGAACTGCATCAAAAAGAAATATTTTCCAACTCAATCTATAAAATCCAAAAGGGGGGAGATATTTGAAAGATCCATGAGCCACAGTTCCAAAACAATTCACGAGAATCTAATAAGTCGAAAATTTAATATAGCCGGTACCCAATTAGCTTCACTGGATTCCACAGGCTAATCGTGCCATCGCCAAGGCCTCCGGCAATGAGGCCGAGAGAATACTCGCCCGAGACAGATTTCGGTTTCCCCCATGAGAGGCGGTTAAAACGGTCGCTGCTAGGGCAAGCACCGACCACAGGAAGCTCCTGGCTGTCCGACTGGAAATCGAGCTTGAATATCTCAAGGTTCGCCGACGAGCTAAACGACAGATCGACGGCGCCCGCCATCGTACCAGCAGCGAGGTACGGCGCATCCGGAGCGAAGGCGGCGAGGGCCGATCGAGGGGCGCTCTTGATGCAGGCCATGGAGTAGATCGGGGATCTCGCCGGATTGGGGCGGATCTAGGTTATCAAATTACTACCGTCCGTTACCGTGGAGGAGAGAGAGCCAATTTTAGAAAAAAAAAATGGGAGGAGAGACAGAGAGAGAGAGAGAGATTTGACAAAGAGAAGGTTGGGATTTACGAGCCTCCGCCGGGAGGAGAGATATGTATTGCTCTTTTTTTTGTCTACACTTTCTCCAAATTTTCAATGGTATATTATATCATAAATAAATTTTTTTTTTATTATGTAAATAGGATACATATTATCGATTAACTATAATTTAACTAAGATTTTTGTACTTATTTGTATTAAATAATAATTATAATATAGAGGATAATTAATAGGATAATTAATAAACTCATTAAATAATAGTAGTTTTAGTTAATTACTAAGTTATTAAGTTTAATTTAAGATAATTTAAAATATAACTAAAGTCCAATGATACGTTGTTAAAAAATTTCTTAATCAGCACGAATTTTGAGGTAATTTTTGAATTAAAATTTTATAGAATTATATTTTGGACCACTTGAACTCTAATTTCAATGAATTTAGAATCGTTGTGAATGTATCGATTAGACAAACTCATCAAAACTACAAATCTTTTCTTGGAGATCTCTGACTTATAATTTTCTACTTACCATTAATACAAGAGTCCAATCCAATGTTGATCTTATTTATAAGTAGAAGCTCACATAGCTCACCTTGATCTGTTGGTTAGGAGCTTAGACTATCAACTAAGAGGTCTTGGATTCGAGCCTTGTATATGCGATGTGCGTATGAATTTTCTTTAAGTGGCATAAATATCCCAAAAAAAGGTAGAAGCTCAATTAATCGTTGATGAGCCTATTAATGCTCATTGAAAGTAATTAAAACAATCCTCCAATATATGTCAAATTTTACAACAAATATTTAACAACCTCCCCCATGAAGAAAGCATGGGCATTCAATAAGGCTAAAGACCACATTCTCACTAAATTCAACTTGAGATACCCAATTACACCCCTGCTCCACTAAATATATACAAGGCTAATATTTTGAAGGAGATTCAAATTTTTGACTCATTAGCCTCCTCCCCTCATGCTGAAGAAAATCTATTATTAAGATCTAATCAATCGCATTGCCCCATTGCGTTATCCCCAACAAGGTGAGCTAATATTCTAGCATTGGAAATAACAACTAAAGGAACATTAATCAAAGGCCCCCCAACACCATCAATATCCTCCCCATAACTCACATCATCGGAATAATGCAGTCCATCCGAAATTCGAGCACTCCCTGAACCATGAATAGAGCATGAATTCCCACCCGCATGTAAGTCACCGTGACGATCCCCATAAACATCAGACAGAGCATTATCACCCTCATTAACAACGCCAATAGGATCAGGAATTTCACTAGGACAAGCGACCAGATTAGTTAAGCAATTGTTAGGTTCATCAATCTCAACAACAATAAGATCAGGTGCCACATCCTCCTCAACATTCAAGGGAGAAATCGAAGCCAACACTGTAGTAGAATCCAACTTCAGCGCTAAAACCTTGGTCTCAACAGACACAACAGAACTCAAATCCAAAGCCAATTCATTCACACCAGAATCCTCACAAACAAGGACAATAGGGGCCACAACTGCATGATCAGACGAAACATCAGCAGCACCAAAAAACACACCCACAACTTCCCCACCTCCCCCCCCCCCCCACC